AACACCATTTGTTGAAAAATTTTCTTCTGAAGTGGTTGAGTTTGGTGTGTTTTCAGATGTTGATGCAGCATGTGATGCAGAAATATTGTTTTCAATTGCTGTAACACGAGGATTAGCCTTGGTTTTTCTGGCTGGTTTTCTGGTTTTGGTTACTCTAGTTGTTGAAGAGGTTGAAGAGGTTGAAGAGGTTGAAGAGGTGTTTCTTCTATTGGAGTTTCTTGTGACAGCCATTGTTTCTAGTTGATGTTGATTTAATGATCACTTGTTTTATTTTATTCGTGGTTTTAACCTGACAGAATATCCTCTACTGTGTGTATATAAGGTAATTCCGATGTTCTATTAATATACATATAATGTTACAATTAGTGGATTCTTGATTCTTCTTATAGTTGATGTGAAATGTTGAGTATTGATGAATTGTGCATAATTGGTTATTCTGGTTATGTAATACCTGACAAAAAACGTAAGCGAGATTGAATTCGCGAAGGTATGGTTGATGGTGATTTAAGGAACGATCAGGGGAAATCTAGAGGCTCTATATATGTTGGTGTTGGTGAGCTGAAAGGTCTCGTTTGTGCTCACGGTGCTAGTAGATCGAGGTCTGACTGTTTTTGATCGTTACCCCATGGGTTAATTTCATCTCTTTGAACAGGAGTGTGAGATGAGAGGTTAAATAGTTAGGCTTCCAGGTACCAACGCCGAGAATCACTATTATAGGTATATGAATCAGCCGTGAGAAGTAGGCTGGAGATACTAGTGTCGAGAGTCCTCAGTGAGGTTTACACCAGACGTTGCAATGATAAAAACGTTGTTTATTGATCAACAGAACCATCAGGTGTAACAGATTCATATTTCTCGAATCCATATTCTTTTTTTTTCCGGATTTTCGAAACTTATAACATTGTAGACATAATTGTTGACAACAGCTAAATTTAATAGTCATCGAGGTGCTCTTCTTCAAAAGAATTCAAGCTACACTCTCATTCATATCCTGCTGATCACCTTTTCAAAAATCATGAATGTTTTCAAGCGTGCCTTCTCCACAACTAAATATCTCAGATCTGCTATTTATGATGGTACTGCTTCATCCTTAGGGAAATCAGAATTCAATGAAGGTTTACTCTCAAAAGACATCCCATCTGTCAAGCTGGCATACGATTTGATCAATGAAAAATCAAACACCTCTAACCCTAGACCTCCTGTTCTCATATTGCATGGTGTTTTTGGTTCCAAATCAAATAATAGAACAATAGCTAAACAACTCAATGCAAAATTGGAAAGAGATGTGTATTGTCTTGACTTGAGAAATCATGGCGAATCACCTCATAATGAAAGACATGATTATCCTTCATTAGCTGCTGATGTGGAAAAATTCATAGAATCAAACAATTTGGGTAAATCAATATTGGTTGGACACTCAATGGGTGCTAAAGCTGCCATGGCTGTTAGTTTAAGAAGAGGTGATTTAGTGGAAATCCTGGTTAGTGTTGATAATTCACCAGTTAATTTACAACCATCTTCATTATTCCCAAAATATATCAATATATTGGAAAGAATAGTTTCAAATAAAGAAATCAAAACTTCAAAAGAAGCTGATCAATATTTCGCAAAATTTGAAAAAGATCAAGTTGTTAGACAATTTTTATTACAAAACATTAAAAAGAATAAAGAAACTGGTGAGTTGGAAAGTAGAATCCCATTAGAAACATTGAAGAATGCATTAGTTAAAGGAAACATAGCAGCATGGGAATATGATTCAAATTTTAATAGATATATGGGTCCTTCATTATTTATAAGAGGAACAGTTTCAAAATATGTTCCTGATGAATATATCCCAGAAATTGGTAAATTTTTCCCTAATTTTGAAGTGCGTGATATTGAAGCTGGTCATTGGGTTATGGCTGAAAAACCAAAAGAAACATTAGATGTATTGGTTGATTATATTGAAAGAAATGAAGATATATAAGCATGATGAACTAGTGTTTAACGGTCTTAAATTGAATATTCATATATTAGATAACATTTTTGGTCAACACATACAGTTTTATTGTCAAGAAAAATTGTGCATCCAATTGCAATTCTTAGCTTTCATATTGGGTACCAAACTTTAATCCATCCAACCTAAACCCCTGCCTTGATGAACTTGTTTAAAATTTAAAATAGTGTCACCATGATCTGGTAATATTATAGTACAATATATTATATAAGGTGTTTAAGCTCGTAAATTACTTCATCTTTCAATTGACCTGTCTGAGACACCATTCATCAATTGTACCAAAATAGCAAATTTTACATTGATTGAATCTTGAGCTGATGACATGTACCTATGAGATCATCATTAAATATAGAAACAACTCAAGAACAACGGCCAATCAGTATGTGTACGAGGTCCATAGCAGCTCTAGTACCCACAACAATATAATGTAAATTAACTATAAATCGGCCTTATCGCACGTCTGTGCAGTAGTGTTATATACAGCTTAAATATCCTGATTTGCTTTTCGTAAGTAGCCTTATTCCATTCAAAATTGAATTAACTGCAGCTTATAAATATGTTGCAGTATCATTATATATAAGCTGCGCAATGTAGAAATCAATTAGAATATAGCAGCTGAGTTCATTTCAATCGATTACGAATATTGTAAGAATAGAACGCATACACCTAGTAATTGTCGGCGCGTGTATAAGGTGTAAATATTACGCGTAATTGACAAACCCTGGACAATAACCCACGTCTTAAGACATTAAACACTCATCCTAGAGCTCTCTGGCTTATATTCACCACCCAATGGCCATGATATCATGAAGATTTTCACAAGAATATTGAACGAATCTACGAAGTTCTAAAGGTCTCAGCTTCGACATATTTCCGCAACTACATAATTGAGCTCTTGATTAATCGGATAGTATCTAATTGTTCTTATTCCTTATACCTATGAGTCTGTAGTGGTCAATGATAAACTACCAAACGCTCTGACAATATCCACAATAGTATATGAGAATCGAGATTAAAGCTTCTAGATCCTCAGCTATTCTCGTAAAAACACATATGTATGTGTGTCCCAAAAGGGCAATCTGCGTTCTATTGAGATGTCAATCAAATTTAAGAATTTGAGCGTGTACAAGTTTTTGGACAGGCAACTTGGTACAAAAGATGAATTTAAACAAGGAACAAGATCATTTGGATCCAGATTCCAAATTCAATATTGCATACCTGATACAGTAGTATCGAATCGATATGATTACAGGAACAAAAGAAGGTCATTCTCTCGATATCTCAATGACTGATATCACTTTATGTTGGATCATCGAATAGTAATCAAGTAATTGAAATGTCCCATGTCTAACTCAACGTTTGTTATTTGTTCTGGAACACACAGTTGAGCTTTCATCATCAACTTTCAAGACAGTTGGCGATCTCCTAGATTCCTCCAGCCTCCAGGCCTCTTGTCACCTGTGTGTATAACATCTTTCTTTGTTCACACTCATATGTGAAGTGTGAGGTGTAATTAAAATTTCAATAAAACTAGTTGGCACTCATTTTTCAGAAGTCTCGATCATTCACTACAATGCTACTAGGTACTTTTTAGTGAGCTAATAACCAATGCGCTGGGAAGGTTTCACTAAATGTTGATGAATTTGATCTCAAGAGTCATGTAGGACTTGAGACAGTACTCATATCTTTTTATGATAAAGCTGTATGATCTGACATGAATATGAATTATTTTGGCTGACTTACTTCTGAATTTGCATTAGGTTTAAAATTGCTATCAGCATGTAATTAATGTAGTTACAAATTACAATATATGAGAAAAACCAGTAGACTACAACATTAATCTGATAACTAATTATCGAAGGCAATATTATATAACTAGTGACCCGTTGAACGTCACCTAGATCATTAATAGAATTCCTAGGATCACACACCAATATTGGTAAATTCATGAAAGCTGAAGCAGCATGAATTTGATCAGTTTGAAATCTATTCTAGCAAACACTCTCTTCTCAAGCCGTTCATGACAAGCAATAATTTTCCATCTACGTATCAAGCTGATACTGTTGTTGTACTACACCGACTCGAGTATTTATTACTCGTCTTTCAACTTCTATGTGTGTAGTTGCGTTGTAACTTGTATGCTTTTTACGAAAAGCGTTGTTCTTGATGAGATCGAACTTGAAGTTTGGGGACAAAGTTGACGCCAAGCTCACGAGTCTCTATCAACGCAAGTCGTGAAGTTTGAACCCTATAATATGCACTAGATAGTCCTCCCAAATGTGACTGAAGATTTAATTTTACATTTGAAATCTTGGTACCTCGGGTAAAATACGCCAACAGGTAGTTCTATGTTGATTTCTATATTGTCTATATGGTAAGTTCTGCAACCACACAATTTACAATACCACTACAGATCATCCAGTCCGAAGGTTGTATTAAAGTTTAAAATTACTTGAACAAGTTGTACAATCTGTACTTTTGTTCGAGGTGTATAGCGTTACAATGACCATGGACTACTTTCCATGTACTGGTAGCTTTTAGAACCACCGTTTCATGAACACTGGTACGTCGTTAATTAGCTGCTAAAACCATCTCGTGAGCGTTTCGCTCTATCAATACATATTGGACGTCGTTTAGGGAGCAATATGCTCTTGTTCACTTTTCGTGTCGACATTAATCATCATCAAACCTCTTACTTCGATTCAAGATGTTTGAGGATTTAACTGGTGAACCCAAGGAATTACTGGTCAACATGTGCCAGACTGCCTGATCTAGATACTTGGGATGGCAAGCCTCCAACGAGACGACGACATCCATAATATCACTAGTGCAGTAAATTCTTACAATACTCATAGCCACTTTACTTTTGCTCACACAGCTAAATCAAATATTTAAAATTCAGCATCTCCAAAAATCATCGACCCCCTATTAATTAAAACAACTTCTAGCTAGTGAAGATTTTTTTATAATTCACGTCTAGGGCGTTCAATTACCAGAATTTCAGCGCGTGTTTTCTTTACAAACGGATTTGAAACAAAACAAGAGCTCACTCTTCCAATTCTCATGCATACATTCTGTCCAACTGCTTCCAATATAAATCCATGAGCGCCTTGCAATTCAGAAAGCTAGGTTTGATTTTGAACCAGGCAATTTGACGTTCCATATGATGAAAATAAAGTTGATTGAGTGAGTAATGCCTTTCTAGAATCAAATCTAACAATCAGCAAGAAATCAACTTAATCTATACTTAATTATTGGTATGACTTGACTGTAATTTGTATGGAGATCTTTATAATTTCAACGCACTGTGCGTTTGATAAAGAATTTTCTCTAGGAGGCTCCAGCAGAGACAAATGCAAGCTTATGTGTGGAAGCATTTGAACAACGCTACCAAAACCGTTAGCCTGGGTTGAACAAAATATTCTGTGGTAGATTTTTAGATATGGTCAGGAATATGATCCGATATTTAAGCAAAAGTGAGGGGCATTCAATTAGGCTAAAAGGATTAAGGATCTTTCAAAACTTGTAAACTCTTATTGTTGTGAAATTGGTTTTCTTGAGTTGTTCTGTGTGCACTTGGTTGGAGGTTGTTGCAAGTCGCGAAAGAAAGTTTACGAGTTCAATTGGGTCTCTGGCCTGAAGTGTTTGTGTTCCAGGATTTGAGTTTTTCATAGACATCATATCTTTGTGTCTAAAAAAAAGGGATCTTTTATTTGTATGGCAAAGGTACTATATGGTCTTGTTGTCGCTGTAAAAGCTCCTAATTTGTGTAAATTGCAACCCAAACAAAAGTTATTGGATGGATCTATCATCTATCATCCTGTACTGCAATCTGTCCCTCGTAAACTCAAAAGTTTACCACGCTTGTTTTCGTACCTTCGCGCGCTGACAGCTCACAATCCGTTTACGGCCCTTTATCGAACGCAAAATAATTTTGAAGTAAAAGACGTTAGAAGCTGAAAGGTACCCCTCGCTGAAAGCTATTAGTTTTGAAATATGATTTGGGATTTGAGAGTCGGTTGAACATGTACTATGATGGAATTGTAAATTAGTTGGTTGCACTAAATTTTACGTGTAAAACTGGATGATGAGAAGACTCACTTGTTAAGCTGGGTGTCCACTGTCTAATTGGTAAACGTCCTCCACAGTTAGATGTGTTGTCCACTCAATACTGTCCATAATTATAGCAGAGTTTGCCTAATAGCCGTTTTTCAATGCTCATTACCTGTAGTGGTCCACATTTTATTGCCTGTAGGCGACGTCGCGGTCTGTAATTACTCTGTAAGTGTAACGTTTATTATTTAACGTACTTCAATATGTTGAGGGCCCACCAAGCTCCAAGTTCCAAGTTCCAACAGCTGGTTGATTCTTGAACCTTGAAGCAATTTAGTCGTTATTAAAATTGAGCAGCTAGACGTAGTTGTCTCTGGCTGATCTAGTGGAAAGCCGCACGCGTAATATCGAATTGATATTTCAAATCTTCGTGAATATTATTAATCTTGAATGAAATACAATAATATATCTAATAATTTGTGTCGACTGTCGAAAGTGTTTTACTCGTTCAGCTGCTAATGTCATGAATAATTGACGTACCTCAATAAACAAATCCATATATAGTCGAAACAAGCAATCTATATTATTGGCAAAAGAAATTGTTGTGTGCTGGTTTATCACCAACTCCGCTCTTATCATGAGCTTGAGCTGGAGTTCAAGCACCGCCTAGCTTCCTAAACAGCTTCATGATTGTTATATATAACAATTAATGCTAGGTAAGTTTTTTCTATTAGTCGACTTGAGTGCCAGGATAATTATACTATGAGCTAGTCGAATTAGAGTACAAGTTCATATGTATCGTGACCCAGTCCTCATGTATAAAGATATCTGGCTTTTATACACGTCTATAATTAATACTGCGTCAGCTAGACATCATGGCTACTAGTATAGTACTGTACTAGATTGATTTAAACGTAGGAAGTGCGTACTAGGAACCAAAAGTTACCTAGTTAGTACTGAATATCTTGACGTTGAGTACAATATTCTTTATAACGTGGTCCAAATTTGTTTATAAAGTATCAACATTAAGTTACAACATTCAAGTATCAAGCTTCAACTAGGTTGTGTTACGTTGTAGATAGTAACACTGTACACCTAACACATGTCACGAGTCACGACTCACAAGTACACTTCCCAAAAAATCAAAGAAAGTTGACAGATCAAACTACGTGTAATACACATAGACGTGATTCAGCCCAACTGGCCGTTGATAATTTTTAAATAGCTCACCTACAGATCATGACATGAACCAGTTTCGTTGCTTTGAAATCCCCAGTAAATGTTCAGTGCAGGTTGAAATGAGGTTCCAGAATCCTCAGATGAGCTGGCACGAAATTAAAAAAAAAAAGGAAGGCACTAAGTAAAGATGTGTGTGTATATTGTGTATTTCTTTAATCTACACATGAACAAGTCCATGTTTATTGTTAGCAAAAGGTGAAGCTTCAGCCTCTTCTAGTAAGATGATGAGCATTGTATACGTAATTGTCGAAGCAGATAGAATTAAGGTGATCCTGGGAGAAAAGAGTGTCTAAAGTTCACAGCGTCAGCTCAACTTCCTCTGGTAGAAATGCGGCCAGGCCCTCTTTCCCCTATAGCTCAGGCAAGAGCAGGGGATCCTTGCCTAGGCCTAGGCAGGGCGGGGCCCGTCTGGTAGGCTCCAGCCAGAAAGTTAACACAGAAGTTCAGGCTTGTCTCCAAAAGTCGACCGTTAGAGTTTGAGGGCAGCGCGCAAGAGACATTAGCGAGTCATGCATACGACTGCATTCATGTGCCTATATGCCGGGACACAAAGCATCTTTTTTGTCAGCTTTCTGTTTTTTTGTAAAAGTTTGAATTTACTTTTTGTTTTTGCAGCGTACCATGTAGTGAAGAACTTGTTTCGAGTTTATCAAAGCGAATGATTCGAAGCTGCTCATAATCATGTAAGTCTTGTATTTCCCTTCATGTAAAGAAGCAGGTGAGGAAAACTCGAATATAAGTCTCAGATTATCCCCAATTTTCCAAAGTTCATGAGTGGTAGGGTTTGCATACATCAGATTTACATCCTGTGATCAAATCATATATAGCCATATATAGCCACTGATTTCACAGCTTTGCAAACTTACAGAACAAAAGCAGGCATCATTCAACAACGCATCCAGTTCCACTTCAATTGCTAACTGAAAACTCATATCATACCTAGGCAAATTATTTATTGATCCATATCTTACGTCAAAGATTGATATATATATAAACTTATAATTGTTTACAATGGAGATTATTATGCCTGTTGGCGGTTCTGGTTACAACTTTAACAACAATCTTTATTCAAGTCAGGCTATAACAGAACATAATTCATCAAGTACAACTGATTCCAACAGCTCTGCTTTTGATTTCAACAACTACAGCATTAGCTACCCAAGCAGCAGTAGCTCCCATTCACAAATCCACCAAGCAGATCACCAGCGATTGGGTCAAAGCACTTCAATGCCAAACCAATCAAACAGATCAAAAGAAAATTTGGACTATCCAACTAATGAACAGACCAATAGCAATTTCACTAGTTCAGTTCAGTTCAATCAACCAAGATCAGGGCCTTTGAGCAATTCTCAGGTGGAATACTCTTCTTACAACTTTCAATTTCCTTCAAACTCTTATCAATCCAATGATTATTCAAATTATAGTCAACAACAGCAACAGCAACAGCAACAACACTACCAACAGCCAAGTCAACCACTTCGTTCACCGTTACCTCCAGCTCAATATTCCCAGGTTCAAACACCTACAAATGTTCTTCCACAAAACCAGTACAATTCAAACTTTCTATACAGCTCTTCACACGATCAAGAAAGTTCCAATGATCATCCTCCATTATATCCACCTCGCAACTATCAACAACAACATCAAACATCATATTTCCCCCAATATTCTGAAAAGTCAAAATCCTTCACATTTAATGATCCGTTTGCAAACAGAAGTCGCCCTGATGGGAAATTGGAAGAATTCACCGATGATGATGTGCAAATTCTTAAATCATTGTTATTCAATGGTGAAAAGATTAAGTGGAAATATGTCTCAAGTAAGTTGGCCAATGTCACTGGGAGAAGAGCAACTTCAAGTGCTTGTTCCAAAAAGACTAGAGAGTTGTTCCGTTTACCTTCTGAAAAAGATTGTGGTGATTTAGGTACAAGTTTACCTTATGTTATTCATAACTCATGGAAATCTTTAGAAAAAGCATAGATTGATGTGGAATATATTTGAATAATTTTGTATAGCATGGTGGTGTTCTCTTGGTGTTTTGTGGTTTTTGGTGGTTTCTTTTAATGTCTTTGAAATGAGCTATGTTTTGGTTTTAGTCTAGTTTGATGAAATACTTAAGCTTATGATATAGATGAATTTGAGTCCTTTTGGGGGCTTCAATCTCTCTTCTAATTATTTTTTTGTTATATTGTGATATTATGTTGTTTACTTATGGGCGTTTATTGTGTTTATGTTTATCAAACCTTGGTTGACTTTCATTATTGTAGTAATTGTCTGGTTCCATGGTTTGTAACTCGTTCTTCCCAGTTAGTCACGTGCAGATGAATTTTCGCGAATTTGTTGATGAGTTAAAGTGAAAAAGCTGAAACTATCCTTCTCCCAAATGTAAACAAATATATCGTGAACTTTGCCAAACGTATAGAAGACAATCACGATGGCTGATAATGACAAACCTTCTGAGCCGGCTTCAGAGATAGAGGCTTCTTTACCTCCAAATACGCCTGAAAATCCACAACCTACATTGTTTCGTGTTGAAAAGAGTGACTTATATGAACACACTCAACACATTAGAACGTTTCCCAAAAACTCTGATGTTAAAGCCCCAGTGGTTGGTGAATTTCAAAACCTTGATAAGTTAAATGACACTCGTGATGAATACGAATGTACAAAAACAGATCCTAAAGGTGAAAAGAAGATTGATGAAAATGGGTTTTTGCTGGGTGGACGTAAATATATCATTACAACATTCACTTTACCAGGCCGTGGGAAAAAATTATATGTTTTGGGTACAGAGGCTGCTAAGTTTTTGAATCATAGAGATGCTTTTGTCTTATTCAACAGATTCAAACAATTATATAAAATAAAGGCTAATGACGAAGAAAGAAAGTTCTTGGAAGATTGTAATTTTACCATTTCCAAAATCAAGTCAAGATCAGTTGCAGTAACTACTGCTAAGAATTTGTTTATGTTATTTGGTGCTAGAATTGTCAAGAGTGGTAAAAGAGTGGAGGATGATTATTGGGAAGATGCCGCAATAGAGCAAGGGTTTAAACCTACAGATCAAGTTTTCCCCTTAGAGAAAGGTAAATCAGAAGTGGTGAAACCAAAAGTTGCGGCTCCAAAACCTGTTCCAAAAGTACCAAAAGTTAACCTTGTTACTCCAATGCCCCCATTAGAGGACAGAAGAGATTATTTGCTGGCGTCAAGTAGTGGAAATCCTGCCCAAGCTATCCCAGGCCAAGGTATTACTGGTGGTATAGAGTTAGCTACTGTTGCTACAATACCCAAGTATAAACAAGATAGCACAAATACAGTGAAGCACAGAAGCATACTGAGTACTTTGAGCTCGAATAATTCAAGCACGTCATTAGCATCACAAGCTGCTGCTAACCAAATTCCAATAAATGATGCTTTTGCTGGTGAGAAATCTACTGGTGGGTTGCCTTATTATAACTCGAACGTTTTACAAAGAATAATGGATGAAGATTCTGAGAAAATTAGGGAAATTGAATATTTACATGGTACTGTGGAAACTAATAATTATATTTCTTTATCAAGAAAACCTAGAGTAAAACAATGGCAATATTACTGGCAAGTTAAAAGTGGAGCACCAATAGGGTTATTAGAAAGTCAAAAAGATGAATATTTCAAAGAACAAGAGGAATCTCTAAACAAAGTCCAGGAAGAAACAATTTATAATGAGTTTCTGTATTGTGACCAAGTTATCAAAAAGAGAAGAAAACCAAATCCAAATTATTTAAACCATGGAAACATAAATGGATTGAAACCTCCATATATTGAAAAAGAACCTACACCAGCCCTTGAACAAGCAATGCCACAACATATTGCTCAACCATATGGAAGTGTTCCCCAAGTTGCTGCTCAAATGGGTTCAACTACACAACAAGAATACTATCAACGAGCACGTCCAAATGATCCATATGCACAGTACACAGCAACAGAGAGAGGTATACCTCAAGCAGCTACAGCGCAACAGATTTATGAAGCACAAAGATCTGGAATACAATTTCAACGTTAACCTTCAAGTAATGAAAAATGAATGTTTATTTAGTTAATTTCACAACAATTTACTCTTGATGTCGTGACGTAGTCTAAAAGTGAACATTATCAACAGAATTGTTAATATCAAAATTGGAATGATTAAGAATTTCAATCCTGAAACTAATTCAGTGATTGGGTTTTCTTGTTTTTCCTTTTCAGAATAAACCAAGAATTGAATATTTTTACTCAATTCCTCAATCGAATGTTCATTCTCACGTAGTTGATTAACGTTATCAGCTGCAACCTTATTTATGGTTCCTGTTAATGTATTTATCTCACTTCTTAATAATCTTTCCAATGTTGCAATTTTGGAATCAAATTGATTTAATGTTGTTTCCAATGAAAGAACACGATCACTCAAGACTTTAATTTTCAATGTGTAATCTTCCAAATATGATAAATCAGCCTTTTTACCAGATGAACTAGTGATGGATAATCCAGTCAACTTAATTTGAACAAAGTTGTTTAATAATTCCTTGTTTGAAAGTTGAATTTGATCAATTGTTGATAGCAAGTGACTTAATGAAACATCATCAGTGGTGGAGACTTTGTCTTCTTTTGGTTTCTCAACTTTTCCCATTGGTTTACCATCTTTGTCCAATTGAACGTATTCGGTGATAACTTTTGGTTGAGTAGCAGCAATGTTTTCATTGTCCAATACTTCACTTAAAACACCACCATAAGTCTTCAATCTTAATAATTCGAACTGTTCATGTTGAGAGCCAGTAGAAGCACTAAAACCAACCTTATAATTCTTTGGAAGTTTGACTTGTTTAGTCCTCATGCATACTTTGTTATCGACTTGAACTGTCAAGATACCATTATAGTAAACCACTCTTAAAGTAAATGGAACTTGTGAATCTTGATATGCAGCTAAGCATGAGCCAAATGAATTTTCATAAATTTTATCGCCTAATTTGCTGTAATCGACAGTACCATCATTTAGATAACCACGAATGGTACTACCAGTTGGACCATCACTATCAACAACGATGTTCAAACCTTCAAATTTACCGGGGCCTCCAAAAAATGATGTGTCATCATTGTGTTCAGCGATATATCTTAATGAGACACCACTGTTTGTCTTTCCAAAAGCACCAGTACTTCTAATAATTGTTTCAATGGTCCATGAATCATAAGAAAGTTCTAAATCATTAGTTAATGAACCTTTGGTGTTTGCTTTAGGAGTGAGGATCAATCTTCCGTTCTCAAAAGTGGAGTCACCAGTAATATGCCAGTCTAATTCATGTTAGTAAAATATTTCGTAACTTGAAATTGTAACGATATACACACTTGGTGCTAGTAGCTTCTCAAGTTGAGCTAGATCAGGAAGTGACAGATCATCATCGGTCAATTTCTCATCTGCTTCAGTATGGGCCGAAACGTAATTCCCTAATACCAATGTGGCACCTAGAATCCTACTCCAGTTTATTTTCATATCTGAGAGTATTAATTTTGCTGAGTTGGGAAATTAAATATTATTGTTGTTCCCTTTCATCATCATCATCGACTTCACTCTTCGAGCTTTTTCCATCAGTTTTTTTGTTATGGGGACTCAACTCATAAAGAAGTTGTGAAATTCTACATAGATTAGATCCAAAAAATAGTAGTTTCTTATATTCAATTCTGTGTAGCTTCATTGCACTCTGTACACTCTGGATCACCATTATTTGAGCAACTTGGAGCTTCTTCTGTCACCAATTTACCTTCATTTTTGTTTGATTTGTCAACATGACCCAATACTTCATCTGGAAACACTTCATTACGGATTTTTTGTTTGAGTATCTTGGAGTCTGGGAACCCATCATTCTCTTTTCTGTCCCATACTTGTACACTTGGTGAATTGGTATCTTTTTGAACCTCTACTCTAAACACACCAGACTCGTAAGGTATTAGGGCAACTTCACCTAGTTTATCACCAAAAGTTGATAGCAATTCCTGTAAATACCATGCTGCTCTGAGGTTCCATTTACATTTGGTGCAGAATTTGATTGTAACTCTTGGATATATGATTTCTGACATGATAGCTGTACTTTATATAGCGAGAATTATTCAACTAAAAAGAAAACCCTGTATACTGATGATTCAACGTAATCTGAGCTGGTTAGTGGCAATGGTGTGTTTGTTGACGTTTCGCGAACGAAATTAATACACGTAAAATTTGGGTCAATGTTTCATGGACTAATGTTCAGAGAAACTGAAAAGCTTGAACGAGAGATACTTCTCAAAATATTCAACAAATTGGGAACTATTTGCCACATCCGTCACAAATGCCTTCGTTTGCTGATAGCTTCTGGACTCCAAATTACTCCAGCGGTAAGTACCCATGTTGAACCCAGTACAGCGGATAAAAATAGCTAACATTTTGCATAGGTATTGAAGTCTTATTCACAAAACTGAACCAAGGATGCATTGAAAATGATGAATTCATTAACCTGTTTACTTCACGTATGGATTATGAGTTTGATTATGGTAAAAAGCTATCAGCTCTACCAGATATCCATTCTCCAATGAAAGGTGGTTTTGATAAAGACGATGGTGCTAGTTTGAAAAATGCTTTCAAAGGTTTAGCCTTAGAAATGGGCAATGAAGGTGATTCACACCTTCAAATTGCATTGAATATCAAAGAAATGGTTATTGATCCTTTTTCTAAATGGAGTCAAGAACATAAACAAAGAATTGACTACTCTGAGAAAATATTGAAATCTAGTCTAAAAGTCTATAAAAACAAATTAAAAGCCGTTGAAAAGATTCAAAAGAAATACTTTAACAAATGTCGTACTTTAGAATCAATCAAATCTGGAATGACTGAAGAAGAAATTACAAAAGAGTTGAATAGTATAGATCTAACTGATTCTCAAGAACAAAAAGGCAAATCAAATCCTAGTGATGCTGATGGAGAAGAATATGAACCATTGGTTGTATTAGGTGGTGTTGAGTATGGTAAAATTGGATTGAAAGAATTGATTAGATCAATGTTGACTGAAGTTCCTCAGGGATCTTTTAAAGTTGCAATACTAGGTGTTTATGAACATGTCTCCACTGGTTCTTCAATTGTTTCATTTCTTCAGCAACAATTGGGAATTACAAACATTGATAAATGTGAAAGATTTGGAAAAGATCTCATCACCAATGGGTTTATAAGACATGTTAATGGTGTTGGATCAAATTTTGTTAATAGTAGCACTTTCCAATATCAATGGAAATCAACAGCTTTCCAAATAGCTGATCTACCTATCAAGAAAAATGAAGCTGATGATGACGATGAAAATTTAAATAATAGAAAAGTTTCAAACTATATTGATGAGCTGAAAAATGCAATTTCATATGAAGAAACAAGTTTAAAAAAAGTTGATAATGATGTTAAAGAGTTGGATGCAGCTTACAAAATAGAGGTTGCAAAACTAGATAAGATTAGATGTGATTTGGAAGAATTGATTGTGGATCACTTATCATTTATGGAAAAATGTGAACTTGATCGTTTACGTGCTTTAAAGAAAGTTTTATTAGATTTTTCAGCTTCTATCTCAAACAAATTGTCAAACATCAAAGCTATTATTGATAAGATAATGATTTATGAAGAAACTATCAACCCTACTGGAGATTTAATGTTTTTATTACAAAATTATCGCACAGGTTCGTTTGTTCCAAATGTTGTGCTTTATGATAACTATTACGATAGTTTCAAAGATCAAATATTTGGTGTTGACTTGGAGACACGTTGTAAAAATGATAATAAGACAGTCCCGGTTATAATTTCGTCGATCCTATCATACATGGATAACATTTATCCAGAATTGCCAAATGATGATGTTCGTACAAAAATTTGGTTAATTCCTGTTAGATTACAAAGTACACATGCACTAAGAAGTGAGATTGAAAAGTTAGGAAGCACAGGATTAACACCTGAATTCTTCAAAAATTTTGAACCAGAAGTTATTGCTAGTGTCTTGAAGTTATATTTGTTAGAATTACCAGATTCAGTTGTTCCAAATGGTCTTTATGATCTGATTAGATCAATTTATAACCAATATGGATCAGAATCAGAATCAAAAGAAAGGATTAATGGTATTACTAATGTTTTGAAAAATTTGGATAGATCTAATTTATCAACATTAAATGCTATCTGTACACATTTTACAAGACTGATTAAAATATTGCTGGAAAATAAGAATGAAAATGAATCAAATGGTTTAGCTTCAAGCTTCCAAAATGGTATTTCACAAGAATTTTCAAATTGTATTTTAAGACCAAGATATCAAAATAATTTAAGTTTAAGTGATAAACATAGTTTTAGATTTTTCCATGATTTACTTGAGCATAAAGCTGAAATATTCAAAAATTTGAAACCAACAGGTTCAATTAAGAAAAATAAAAGTGTTTTAGCCGGTGTTGAAGAACGCATTACAAGATCTGAACAACTAAGCAGACAAAGTTCCAAGTTACAATCAAGACTACAACAGGCTGTAATAACAGGATCAAGAAGAGTATCCAATGAAGCAAAATCTAATGAAAGTGACCATGTTAGAAACTTGACTCCTCAAAATGACAATGAAAAAGAGAACAATAATCATTCAGAAGAACAATCTAATGCTGAAAATCCTATAGTAATTGAATAAATATAAATCTACATCATCTTTTTTTCTTAAAATCATTTCAATTTTATGTATTATAAGTCTTCATTATCATTATAAACGTTTATCTTTTGTTGTTCTTTAACTAAAGTCCCAAATAAGTTTCTTGGTTTGTAATTTGATTCTTCTTCTGTTAATTTTCTAATAATCTTTTCACCTTTTTTGTTAATCAGAGTTATTTCTGTTTGTTTTGGTAAATTTCTTTTAATAACAGGTCCTTCTGATGATTTTGTCATAAATGGATTCACTAATGGTTTCCTACTAATAAACTCATCTTCATCATCATCAGCGTCACTCAAGTCACTTGGGACTTCATCATTCCATTTATTAATCAGCTTATCAGTAATCAATTGAGCACCTGGTGTTTTATTTCCAGTTTCTAATTCTTCTTCTTCATCAATTTCAAATGTCAGTTTCCTTTTTGTCTTTAATGAAGAAATATCATCATTATCAAGTGTAGATTTCCTTATTGGAGATACTGGATAATTCTTTGAACGACCACGGCCTATAGTGGATGGAGTTGGTGGGAACAGAGTTCTTTGTGAAGTGGTTGCACCTGCTAGATTTATAGCTTCACCCAATTCTTTTCTCTTTCTTGATGAATGTCTTGGAGTTGGACCGGGAGTTAATAGAGAGTTTGGATTGATTTGTGTAGGAGGGCTTTGAACAGCTGTAACTTTCTCCAATTTCTTACCAAATGGTGTCTTTGGAGTATATGGCACTGATGATCTTGGTTGGGTCTTCACACTTGGTGGTGTTAAAGGTTGCATTGTGATTTATAATTAAAAAAGTTCGTGTTTGACCAGCAAGACACAAAAGAATATGTGAAGATTGAAAAGTAGCAGCAAAATGATATTAATAATAAAGGGTGTGATTGATTTCAAACTTATACCAGATCAGATGAAATGTGTCAACCTCTTTTGTTGTTGTTTTATATAGATGTACGTTTCAGTGGAAAAAAAAAAGAGGTTCTTTGATCTTGATTTTATCACGTACAGGAAATGGCTGGTTATTTAATTTTTTACGCGTCTCTTTCCCATTTTTTTTTTTTGTGGTGAGAGAAAATGAGATCGGGGGTAATTCACGTGATATTGACCGGACTTATGAAAAATTGGAATTATCATCACCGGGTAAATTTGGTATTTTGCGGCGTTCTGTCACAAAATTACTATCTTGAATTTGATCATTACAACTTAACATACAATGACCCATTGGTTTAAAGAAGCCTTTGACATTGGGTCACGGTGCCGAAGCATCAGTTTTTAGGGTCCAAGGAAAATTTCTCGCTAATTGGTTGGAGACTAGTGGCATATGTAATCCTTCAGTTGGAAACTGAGAACGTTTGCTTGATATTATGAATAGCTTGGAATGATTTGTGATGTTATATGGCTTTGATCAAGTTTAAGGAACCATTATATCATCTCTGGGAGAACTTCAAATCTGTATCTAGGTAGATGTACGCGTATGAGACCCTGTTCGTCGACTAATTAAATGGTAAGAGCTATATATTTATAACATAAGCGGCCTCGCAACTGATGATCTTGAGGAACCATATCAAGCAGCTAGCTGAAACCCAGACGTTACTAGGTATGAGTTGGATGGCTTCTTTCAACTTCCAGATCAGATAATTTCCATTGAACTGCCAATTTGTACATGAAGAGCTAGTTGATATCTTGGATACCTGCAGCGTGCCAAAGTTTGATCTCATATATGATATGCCATGAGACTTGAGTATATCAATATTACGGGCGAGGACGGTGAACTTAAAGATTTGTATAACGTATATTTAGTTTAAGCTTATACTTTAATGTGTTTCAAGGACCAATACTGCTCATTTGCTAGTTTGATAATACAGCTATGTAAGTTGTAACTACATTTCTAAGATACGATGGAAGCGGGAAGTCATATAACTTAACTTTGTAATACATTTAAACTCGGAAGTCTCCTGTACAGTACAATTTATGCATAATTGAGGTGATCATGTTGATCGATATTCAAGATCTCTAGAGTCTATACTTTAATCGTGATGTAGTACGATACGCTATATTGTTGTAACATTCTCGAATCTCCAATCTCCAGGATTCAGATTGTTTTTGACGATTTTGATCACAAGATGCCTTGCGTACCTGCTGTGGATTTACACAAGATTTTGTTTTGATAGGACTCTTGAAATTTAGATCCTAAAATCCAATTGTATTTTGAATCCTGAAATCAGAAGGTCTACTGGTATTCATCTGATGCCGAATGGTTTGTACAAAGCTCAAAATGAATCTCCAGCTGATAAAAAAATACACAAGTGACAGATTTCAAAAGTGTTGCCGTACGAACGTTTTTTTTGTATTTTGGCGCAATCACAGAGAATCGAGATAAAACATTTCGCAAAATAGCGGTAACCACACTCATCGTAAAATCTTTTTGCGCTAAAAACGTCTAAACTGGGGAATCCACATTGCGCAATCAAGGACAATGAGCCTTGGTTATAGATAAGGCCCAATTGGATGAAAATTGTTAGGCTTTGGTTGAAGTTTTTAATTATTTATCCATAATTTGGAAGCCTATAGAGGTCTTGGGCACTCTTGGTTTGTCTTGACTCTTATTTTTCGACGTTGTGATTACTGTTCAGTATTAAAATTCATCGTAATCAGAAGATCTCCACTCTAGACGTTGACTGCCGAATTCGCATGATCTGGGCTCATTTCTAGTAATATTTTCTTACAACGTTCTTTTGCAACTTTTCGCAAAGAAAACGTCAAGCTAAGCTTGACTTCACACGGCACTTTCCAAGAGTCTTGTAATTTTTTTAATCCATCTTTCACTTTGATGCCTCACCTCAAGACAATTGGATCAGTCGGACTCACAACACTAGAAGCCTCATATTAACAATAAGTTGGATAAAGCAGAAGCAATAGCCCCTCGCAAATATGGGGAAAGGGAATATGTGTATAGTCAGTCATCAGCTATCCAATTACTTTAGTATTTCTATTTCAGCTCGACTCATTCAAACTAAATCCTGGACATAAAGGGTCCTCGAAGCTAATATAATGGTCCCAGTTTGACGTTAACAATCCTACAATCACCAAACGGTCACTCAGGTTTTTGGCCATGTTATCTTCTTATCTCTAACTGTAGCTTACGCTTCTCGTTTGAACAAAGATCGGATGGTTCGTTAAATTATCAGAGAACTGCTGGGATTCCAAAATGCTTTTGCGCCATAGACGTGCATTTATCAACCTGCTTATCATGCTTTTTTCTTTCGCTCAGTTCTCCATGCACCACCGTAGGGACATGATAAGAATACCTGATTGTTTGAAAAGAAATTCATCTACACAATATTTTTGAATACTTGAATGATTTACCAATTGCAAAGAGTATTTAAATCGTTGGAAATCCCATCAATGTCTTGGAGTGAAAGAACTTTTCATAGTGTCGTATAACATACATTCAATTAATTATGTCTGACTTAAAGAATAAAGAAGTTGTTAATTCAACTGACCCAGAAGTTGGTGATTCCTATTCAGTCACCCATAATGAACCACTTGAGTCAGGTTCAAGATGGCAAAGATTTAAAGATTCTTTCAAAACAATGGAAGATGAAGAGATTGACTCCTCGAATATGACTGATTTGGAAAAAGCTATTGCAAAGACTGCTAAATCTCCATTACACAAATCATTGAAAAATAGACATTTACAAATGATTGCTATTGGTGGTGCTATTGGTACCGGTTTGTTTATCGGTATGTATTGTCTTTACTGTTTACATGTTCTAGCATACTAACATTTTATATAGGTTCTGGTGGTGCTCTTAAAACTGGTGGTCCAGCTGCTTTGCTTATTGGTTGGGGTTTAGTTGGTACTATGATTTACGCTACTGTCCAAGCTCTTGGTGAATTGGCTGTTACTTTCCCAATTTCTGGTGCTTTCAATGTCTATTCAACTCGTTTCATTGATCCTTCATGGGGTTTTGCTATGGGTTGGAATTATGCTTTACAATGGTTGGTTGTTTTACCATTAGAATTGGTTGCTGCTTCAATTACTATCAAATATTGGAACTCTCACATCAACCCTGTTGCTTGGGTTGCAATTTTTTATGTTTTAATTGTTGCAATTAACTTTTTCGGTGTCAAAGGTTATGGTGAAGCTGAATTTGTGTTTTCCTTTATCAAAGTTGTCGCAGTGATCGGATTTATCATTCTCGGAATTATCCTAAACTGCGGTGGTGGTCCACAAGGTGGTTACATTGGTGGTAAATACTGGCACGATCCTGGTGCTTTTGCTAATGGATTCAAAGGTGTCTGTACTGTCTTTGTTACAGCTGCTTTCTCATTTGCAGGAACAGAATTAGTTGCGCTTGCAAGTTCTGGTATGTTTTTCTTTTTCCATGCTTAATTTTGAGTCAGTCTTACTAACAATTTTTCTTTAGAAAGTGCTAATCCAAGAAAGGCATTACCTCGTGCTACAAAACAAGTTTTCTGGAGAATCACATTATTTTACATCATTTCCTTGACTTTAATTGGGTTATTAGTTCCATATACCGATGAAAGATTAGGTCAAGGTTCATATAATGCTGCTGCTTCTCCATTTGTCATTGCTATCCGTAATGCAGGTATTTCAGGTTTACCATCTGTTATCAATGTTGTTATTATGATTGCCGTTTTATCTGTTGGTAATTCTTCAGTTTTCGGTTGTTCTCGTACAATCACTTCATTAGCTGCTCAAGGTTTCGCCCCAAGTTTCTTTACATTTGTTGATAGAAAAGGTCGTCCAATCTTTGCTGTTTTATTATCATTGTTTGTTGGTTTATTATGTTTTGTTTCAGCTTCTGATAAACAAGGTGATGTTTTCGATTGGTTATTAGCTCTATCAGGTTTATCTTCAGTTTTCACCTGGGGTTCAGCTTGTTTTGCTCATATTAGATTCAGAGCTGCTTTGAAACACCAAGGTCGTGACCCTCATACTGAATTAGCTTATACTTCCCAATGTGGTGTTATCGGTTCATGGTATGGATTTATCCTAAATGTTTTGATTTTAATTGCACAATTTTGGGTTGCTGCTTTCCCATTGAAATCTAAATCAACTGCTGATGGATTCTTCAAATCTTACTTAGCATTCCCAGTTGTTATTGCCTTTTACATTTTCCATAAAATCTGGAAGAAGAACTGGCGTTTATATGTCAAAGTTTCAGAAATGGACTTGGATACTGGTAGAGCTGAACATGATTTAGAACTATTGAAAGTTGAAATTGCTGAAGAAAAAGCATATATCGCTTCAAAACCATTCTATTATAGAGCTTATCGCTTCTGGTGTTGAGAGAAGAATGGTGTTTCTTTATAACTGGTTTATAAGAAAAAAAAAGCCCTTAAAATGGGATTAAATAGTTTGTTCTTTTGTCTTTATGTCTTTCTTTTGTGTTGAAATGAAAAATAATTAATTTGAGTATTATACTTTTTGTAGTGTTGGCATCTAAACCACTGCCAATTGTGAAGGGTTTACATGGAGAATAGTTATAGCCTATAGATTTTGCTACCCATCTGCTACATATCATTGTGGTCCTATTTTTTGAAAGCTCTTCCGCTTTCATTTGTTCGACTTGTACAATTACTTGATCGAGATAGTGTACAATGTTTGGCTCCAAGTCTGCAGGTACTTGTTGAGAAATCACTACAACTTCATAAATTCATTAATCATCATAAAAGCGAAGAAGCTAATTAGAACCTGGCTTGAACTTGTTGAAACGGTCATGAAAGAAATTCCAATGGTTCAAAATAAATTGTGCACAAATTTGGCCAGCTTTTTTCTTATTTGTTGAAAGTGCCTTAGCAATTGGGACATTATCAAGATAACATGTGACTTGAACATCTGAATTGTTCAATTTATCAGTTTTGTATTCAGCAGGATTGATCCTGCTTTTAATCAATAGTTGATTTAGCTTCTCTTTAGAAGAAGTATCAATAGCAGCTTCATCAGTAACCAATGGACATTCGAAAACAGAATCACTTGCTTGTTGTAACTGACGTTGATAATCTTGATTGACCAATCCTTGAGGATAAGCTGCGGCTGGTGCACCATGTCCTGCTTGGACAACAGCTTTTGATTGATCCATATAAGGTGAATGACCCATTGCCAGGTTTGGTCCTGCCATATTTGGCCCTGCCATTGGTGCTGGAGCTGGATGGTATGATCCGTATGTTGGATATGTAGGCTGAGGAGGATAACGATGTTGAATATTTGGATCTGGGACATGTGGTGATAATGAAGCCTTGTTTCTTGATTCATTAGCTTTCTTGATCGATTTTTGGGCCCTATCAATCAGCTTTGTATTTGAAAGAGCAATTGTTGAAGCTCTTGCTTCTGAATTTGCTAAAGAATCAGAACTGCTTGTTGCTAAAAGCATATTTTCATTTGCATAAATTTGAACAAGATGTATTGGTTCAAAATGTGTACTAGTGAAAACATGTCTAAATTCAATATTCCCATGACCTAATAGAGAGCGAATTTCATCTTTAGCATTGATTTTCAATTGAATTTTATCATCAAATTGCATCAATATTGGTTCAAGCAAGATAGTCAACCAGTTTTTTATTTCAAATTCTAAATCATTTGAATTGAACCCAAATTGAGAAATCAATGCACCAACATAAGCAAAAAAAGTTTCATATGGAATAACTTTCAAGTCCAGAGGCAACTCATATAATCTTGCCCAACGTGAGGCAACTTTATGGTTATTTGCGTATACTGCCAATTTTTTAATATCACGATCACCAAATCTATGCATCAAATATTCATTTACAAAATTTTCATAATAGCTTCTGCCCAGATCGCTATAGTTTACCAGTCCTCTATTTCCTTCTATGTCTTCTTTCAGTTCTTGGTCTTCAATATCTGGTATTGGCGGCAAAAAATATTCAGAATTCTTGATGAAATTATCCATAATCAAATCATCTTCAACTTCAACAAAGTTATGCTGGTAATTCAAAATCTCATCAAATATATCAAGTTTCCCAAGATCATATTGATTCTTCAATTCAAGGCCTAATGAAACATCATGACTTTCTAATAAATACAAGACTCTTTTGTCTGTTGTAGCTTCTTTAAACTGCTCGATTTGTTGTTTTGAAGGGTTCGCTATTATACGCTTAATTGACTGACTAACTTGGCCAGCATTGAAGGCAATTGAAGCAATATCATCGGCAGTTGATTCCATTTCTGCATCCCTTATACGTCTTCTTGAAACGTCAATGATAAAACTTGAGATTTGGTCATCATTCATGTGTTTTAGATCAGTCATTCTTGATGATGAGTGGTGTTATAGCGCCTTCTATACTGATCTATGAAGTTCTATTCTTAGTATAACTCATTCATAAGTATAAATCATAGACGGGTCATGATCAATATATATAAAAGATTTCATGGTATCAGCATCTTGATCATACAGCTGGTCTTTTTTTTTGTATACAATAACGTTTATTTCACTTATACTCATTTACAAATTCACTTATCTAAAAAAATTGCACTCTAATTTGTGATTCTAATTGAATCTTAGATGCATCAAAAAGGCTAATAAAGCTGTGTCACAACTGTTTTCTATCATTTCAATATTTCTCTTCTTGTAATTTACGATCCAAGGTAATAATTCTTTGAATTGTATTTGTTTATTTGTGATTTGGCGAAAGTTATCATTGTTTGAACAGCAGCATCATCAAATTTAGGTTCAATTGAACTCCATCTTCTTTGAACTCTGGTGTTCCAGCTGGTCAGTTCGGGCGCGCTCGGCCTGGTCACATGACTAAATTTTCAAACGTAATTAATGAAGCAACATTATATGATACAAATATAAAAAATATATACATATATGATTTAAATCTTTCAAAGTTTGTAATGATGTATAATTTAAGTATAATTTCGAAGTTATTTTTTGTTTTTGTTTTCGAGTAAATTTTAACGACGTACTTATCTCTAGTCTATAAAACAAATAAGGGCATACCAATCTTCTTAAAAAAAATTTTCTTGAAACACCCCTAAAATACATCCAATTCATAGATAAATCAGTTTCATCAAGATTAAACGATTTTAATATACATATGACCTAGCAAAATATGTTGAATAAAGCTGTTTGAAAATGAGAATTTCGAGTGAGCGCGCGCCACGCGGTAATTATCCTTCATTTTCTTCGACAAACAATCAGAATTTAATATATTATAATTATTTACCAGTAAAATTATATTATGGATTAGCTTTTTATATGTATTGATCATGATAAGAAGAAGTACGAGCTAGCTATATGTTATTGACAAATCATTTGGCCAATCCGGCGCGAATATCCGAATAGACACACGAAAAATTGACAGACAAAGAAAATTGATTGTAGTTTTTTCATGATGAACCAACAACACTCAGGCACTTATCAACAACAACAACAACAACAAATAGAAGTTAGCGTTGGTGCACGATTTCCAGCAGCTACAATATTGACATGATAAATTCTATCGACAAAAAACAATTGTTATATGTAATATAAACTCCAAATTAAAATCAACAATATACCAGCTATTGACAATTACGAAAAGAAAGATGAACTAAAATAAAAACCACCAAGGAAATACAGAAAAAAACAACTCTAAAAATTTGGAAAATAGAGGACTTAAAAGACCCAGTCCATTATTCTTTGTTTCAATGATCCTGGATGTTGACCTTTTTGTTCCACGGACTCCAAATAAGCTTGTTCATGCATTTCAACTTCTTCTAAACCTGTAATTAAATCAGCTTCAGCAGATCTAACTCTTTTTGTTCTCTTGATTAATTTATAAGCGACGAAAATCACAAGATCCAAAAGAACCATCAAGTAATAAGTCAAAAAGTTTTCAACTGACCAAGAACCTGGCATAAAGACAGTGTAACCTAAAGCACCAACCATACATCCAATGATAACCATGGCAAAATAAGCCAAATAAGGTTGGAACCATGAAGTGTATCTAAAAGCTTTTCTATCAACACCTTGAGCTTCACAAGCATAAAAGAAACCCAAATAGGTGATGCACATGAAGAAATAATTCAAGATTTGAGCACCGGTACATAAGTTAACAATCCAATTCAAAACTTTAGCAGCTGAATCACCTAATTGTAACAAGGATAATAATGAGAATAAGAAGGCAACACCAACACAGAAGACTGGAACACCAGTTTTTGTACAGTATTGCAAAAATTTAGGAGCGAAACCTCTTTGTGAAATGGCATATAAGGATCTTGAAGAACAGTAAACATAAGAGTTACCAGCACTGAAAGCAGAACTAACACAAAGAACATTAACAATATGAGGCAAAACCTTAATGTTCAAATTGTTCATTGCAATGATATATGGAGAATAAGAACCATTTGAAGTGGAACCAGATGAAGCCAAAAGTGTCAAAGTTTTATCATTTGATGGAACTAGAATACCAACAGATAGAGCACCAAGAATGTAAAAGACAGTTAATCTGTAAAAAACGGTTCTAAAAGTACCAGCTAAAACTTTTCTTGTTTCTTGACCAGCTTCACCAGCGACCATAGCTAAATATTCTGGACCAACAATAGTGAAACAAGCTTTGTTTAAAGCAGCCATGAAACCATGGAATTGACCCATTGAGCCAGTTGTTAAAGTTTCCACTAAAGGACCTGGATGTTTCCAGTAACGGAAACCAAAAGCATCATGTTGAGGATTACCACCAACCATTGTAACAAAAGTGAAGAAAATCAAACCAATAGCCAAGATGACTTTACCAATACTTAAATAAAATTCAGATTCACCAAAATATTTAACAGCAAATAGATTCAACATTGTATAAATGAAGATTTGAATACAAAATGAAATCGCTGGTGAATAATCGTCTCTCCAATAATGAATCATACCGTTAACAGCAGTGATTTCAAAAGGAATATAAACACTAATCATAATGAAATAATTAAATCCAACAATAACTTCAAAAGCTTCATCAACACAACGTCCAGCCATTTGAATAAATGGAGAGGAAACTGGTAAATAACACACCATTTCACCAATAGATGCAGTAACAATGAAAATGATCCCAGTCCATATCAAAAATGCAAGTAGTAAACCAAGTGGACCACCATATAATAAACCTGTTGAGATTGTAACGAATAAACCAGTACCAATAGAACCACCCATGGCGATCAAATGTAATGTTCTTGATTTTAATGTACGATGTGTTGAACGATAACCTGTATCATATTCTTGAATACTTGTTGCTTCATGTGATGAGTTGATGTTATGAAGTGAAACTTCATCAACTCTTTTCTCTATATCACTTTGCTTCTCACTATTAAAGAACGCCATCTTGGATAATATATTGTTAATTCAATGTATTTGATGTTTAATACCCAGTGGTGTACGTTTGAAAAAATTCAACAACTGCAAAGAAACAACTCGTGTCAACTATTTGGGAAGAGGTACCTTTCCATTGTATTTATACTGGATCAGCCTCGACGACTTTTTTTGTATTGTGTACATCAACAAATGCTAAGTGTTGGTTGTGTACAGTGTACATTCACAACTTGTATCCATGCAGCACTGATTAGATAGATCGCGAAGAATTTTTATCTAAATGAGAGCATCATGCATGATTACTTGTTTATCAAGCTTCAAATTCTTTTTCATGACGAAGTCAGCCTAATAATTAATTAAATTGACGAATTAAAACTCTTCCAGGGCCTGCTTCCTGCGTTCATGTCTGTGCTGTATTTTTGATCATGATAAATTTTCATGGCTTTTTTTTGAGCTTCGATGATTAAATTTTTGCTGTTTTTGACTATCTCGGCATGGGCCAACATCGCTGGGTTCTCGATCCACATTTGGATGGTGATAAGCTGAGGTTGTAACTTGTGATAAGCAGAGAGCAACGTGAACGGGCCTATGTAGGCTCATTGCAGAGAGTAGCCATTAGACAAGAATCAAATTGTCAGCGTTATAGTGATCTTTTTGATCAAGTTGTCAACGATCGAAGGATACGAGAAGACTGAATACCTCGAAAAAGAAAGAAATCGAATTTGCGGAGGGCTTACGAGAGATGAAATGATTGGCTAGTTGACTTGGGTACAAGGGTAAGCCAGGGCATCTAGGCCATTGAAAAGTACTCAATGTTTAATCGATTTGACAGCTCCAAAGTTGTTTGTTTGGCGGTGTTCCATTCCTAATTTACCACATGTATTATGAGTCTTTGACTCGAAATCACGAGTGCCTGGCCTATGTGGATCTATTATCTGATTCCAAGGTAGATAAGTTATCTTTATTCATTGTATTGTCAAGTCAATTTCTTGAAGGCTGTCAAGTTGGCTACGTACTCTATCTTTCATGCGGCAGTTTGAGTGCCTCTTTGGGAAATAAAATGGTGGTCATTGAATGATCAAGGTTGTTGTTCCCCGTGACTGAGAATTTTGTCGAAGAAAGCTTTTTGGTGTCATCGTAGAAAACTTTTTCTACTCTTGGTGAAGTCCTTGAATCTGATTGGAAGCCTTGTAAAGGGATCAAAGAAACACCGCATAATTTAGTTTTGTACTTGCCAGGGTGAAGTCGTTACAAGCACCAATGTTGTTTGGGTTAAATTTCATAAGAAATCATGCCTAAATCAAGTCACTGGCTGTCAGAGATGGAAATCCCCATGGGTTGTAGGCGGCAATATTCCGACGGAACACCGTTTAAAGATTGAAGAATCAAGAATCAGAAAGATATATTTATTATATCTTAATTATTTTACATAATATGATCCTTGTTGACCAGGAACACCTGATTCTACGAGGTATTAAGGTCGACTTGCCATCGGAGAGTTGATCATGGAGCTCGCTTCAAGATCCAATATTCACTATTCTTTCAATAATGTGTATTTGATCTGACTATAATCAAATGAGATCGAAAACTAAGAACATGTTAAGCACTGGAATAGAGATTTTTGCACTCAATACTATACTAAAACACCTGTCTTTGAATAATATTAGTGGAAACTTCCCATTGAAAAGATCATTAACCAGGTCTGCTTTGTTCTCAATAAAAATGAGTACTGCTATATTAAGAATTTAAACTGACCTTGCAGATAGGCTATTATCCAACATGATGAACCAGGTAAACAGCAAATAGATGAAAACCTTTCACACGATTACTCAAAATGTTTGACAAGTTGATAAAACAGCAATATCTTGACAAACGTTTAGTGAAACAGTTACCACTGAACACATCATATTGACCTAGTTGCTTTTGAATTTCAACTAGCTAGCAAAACCAATAAAAACTCAAAATCAATATTAGAGATTGATGGTTATATAGTATACTATGTTTGTATAACCACTTTTTCTAAGGTATTGATTCTCAAAAGCCAGATGATGCATCTTTTCAGCCGCTTTTTTATTGATCTTCATTTGATTTTCAGTGATCTCGTATACCTTCAAATTCGACACTGTAAATAAAACCAGCTTTAAAATCTTCACCGTGTTCTTGAATGAGTTCATGTACTGAATTGTGTAAAGTTGATGTTGGAGACTTGAAGATATATTGGAATGTTTGAACGGATCATGATCCAGAAAGTCAGCACAACTTGACCTTATCTCAAGTATTTCCTCTTCATTTGACTCTATGGTTATAGACCGCGTTTTATCGTTCAAAGCTCGTTTTAGCTCCTATGTTGCCATGAAAGTATTGTACATCTCAAATTTTCATGGAAACACTTGATAGATATAAACCTAATCTTGACTTGAGCTGGTAATTCTGCTTTAGCGCTAATGATGCGCCCTATAGCCTATAGCGACGAGCCAAAATCAACAAAGACTGCTTCAACTGAGATGGCCGTGCTTAATATTAACCAATCTGGCATATTGAATGTGTACACTTCAAAGCCTTCAAGCTCCAGATTTCTGAAGACGTGATGAAGTGGAAGTTTTGGCTGATTTAGGATTTCCTATCCCGTTGATCATAAACATTACCAAAATTTTTTCACCTCCGAACATTTTCTTATCTGTACTATCAACACTATCAACATCAACAAGAAATGTCACAAAACCTACTTCTTCAACTCCAGTATTCAGTAAACAAAGATTAGATTGACTCTAGGGATGGATATGAAGTACCTTATTGTCAAGTCAGACACCAAATCTTTGAAACAACAATGATAATTATCTGACAGTTCGGTAAAGTAGCATAATAATTATTTGATTGGTGAATGTTCGCAAACAGCAAATAGGATTGAAGAATACAATTTGTTCCTATCTAACTGAAGATGATTGATTAATATTTGCAACACATAATACTTTTAAGTGACGATTATTTGCTACATATATTACACTACAAATAGAATGAGTCAAGAGTGGTGTAACTTTCCAAACACGGAGAGTGAGCCCCAGGCTCAGTAAATTAATGAGCTTAATCGACCACCATTGCTTCTTCCTTTCTCAAACAACCAAGAAGTTCCTGCAAAAAAAAACAAGCATTCATGATGTTCAACCCATGTACTTCATGACAGAAACCTTTTTTGGCCATCTCAGTGGAATGAGCTCAACAATAGATTATACAAAAACACTTCAGCAACCTGAGCTGGACATAAAGATGAACACACATTGATCCAGCTATAGAAATAAACCTTGGTATGAAACTAGAAATAGAGGGATCTCTATCATGCAAGATATTTGATCTCCTGACCATACTCAAAAAGCTAATTAGTACTGAGGTTTTTAACTTAAACAACACCCAATAGAGTGCGGCTTTGTGATCTGTTTATGAAACTAATTAGCTAACTCTAGCTCTACAGCAATTAAGAGAGCTGATGAACAAAGCTAATTCAAGTTGAAACAAATATATTTAGCGTAGAAGACTTGTAACATCACACTGTAATCAATTGTGCAACGTTGTATTAAGTCAACAATATCGTCAGTTCTCAATTTATCATGTCTCAACTCTCGACTAATGCTTTCAGGTACGGACAAACTCAATTCAATAATATCTCCAAAGTTTAGGGGCTTTCATTAAAGTTGAGCACTCGATAAATCACCCCAGTCAAAGCTTATCCATTAGTTGTTCCAGCATGAACGTTCAGAAGTTATTGAACGTCGAGAACAGAAACGCATCTGCAACGTCTCATGGTCCATGGTGCCACTGGTACTGATTACTGACGTATGGGTTTTGATCTTACATTTCTGTATCTAGCAGTCTCAAGAAAAACATGATGAATCTGAAATTAGTCAAGGTTGACACGTCTGATATTCATACAGAGTCCTGTTTCCTTTAACACACACGCAAGCTGTGCAAGCTTGTCATGAAAGAACGATGATTTTCAAACTGCTAACTGGCAGACAACAAACCAACGACTTAAAGGTTAAAGCTCATGATTTTCCTTATGGGTCTACTCCACAATTATTTTACATTATTTTGCCCCAACTTTAAAAACCACCAAATGATCCAATTGTATTTTTTATCATGTTTCATCTCCTGGAAAAATCATGGACAAATGACTACATGTCCCAGTTTCTCCAGATCTTGAGAATTTATGCAGCCGCTCGTGAACTTTATTTCTTTTTCAGCTGGGGAAAATCCGAGATCGACAAAAATTGCTCTTTTTTACGTGACGAAAAACAAAAGCACAAAGCAAAAACTGCCTTTGAAGGTTGAGCTTTAGAACTCCGAACTTTTAATTGGTTGGTGAACTTTAGGGTTTGAGAATACAAGCAGTGCTTGGTGCTTGGACTGTTAATGTTCCACTTTGAAACTGGTGATGTTTTCGATTTCGCTTTCACTACAGACTACAGTACCTCTTGAAAGTTGGAAGCTGAAGCACCATGTGCACTAGGCTCTATCTTAATTTAGATATTGAAAAATTATTACTTTCAGCTGCCATATTCACCAATGACCAGTGCCAGTTCGTAGTGTTGAATCATGATCTTCAATCATATGTCCTACAGAAGCTCGAAAGACACACTGGTTTACCGAGACACAGCTTGATTCACCTTTACGAAAAAGATTCTCCGATCGATTGTACGAGTGAATACAAAGGGACCACTGTACCTGTATAAGGCTTAAACTTGATAGACTTGAAAGATGATACCACACCCTTGTTGAACGCCAAAAACAGGGCTTGCACTTTTGAAGCTTTTCAATGAAATAGGTCGAACTAGTACAAGCTCTACTGCAGTGAACACCTCTCCAACCGAAGGTGTCCACCTAGGAGATAGTTGACAGAGAAATATTTTTAATCCCCATATTAACGTGTGGAGTGCCGAAGGAGTACCCTAGTTATGGAGGCTGGCCGCCAGTTGGCCCAACTTTAAAACAATTTATGTGTAATCTGTCCCCCGGAGAAATTAGCTTTACAAGCTGTGCGGTCAATCGTGGCCACTCCTGAGTTTAAACGCCAGGAAACTTTGTTCAAGCTATTTGTGGTCTTCAAAATTAATTTTATTGAACTGTATACACGTTAGAATTCGAGTTAGTACCACCTTATATGTCGTTGCTAGAGACTATACAGACGTATCAACTGTAGCGTGGGGCCTGCCTGCGGATTTCATTTGTGTAGTTCAAGAGAAACTAGAAAGCATTTTGTAGCCATTCTAGGTAGGTTATAATGATTGATTGGCATAAGAAATGTTGAAAGTATTGTGTGCTTTTGCTATTGCAAGAATTAACGGCTGGTCCTCTTTCACCCAAGATCAAGACTTGTATGACTATATTGTATATTGTTCGGATTATAACCATGAGATGTACGTGTACAAGCCTAGGCATGGAAAAACCTGTTTTTAGGGCAAACATACGATTGAGCCCACAAACTATTTTTCCTGCTGATTCATTTCTCAAGTGTAACATACAGAGCTGCAAATGAGTGGGGACGGGGCAAAGGAGTCATTTGTTACATTTATTTTTTTGGAAAAGCTCCTTTTGTTGTTATCTTTTTCTCCTTGTAGGGCTGTCCATGTTCCAAAGAAACTTTATTCCAACAAAATTTTCCGGGGTGAGCTGCATGAGTGTCCAAAGTTTTTCCATCTCGGATTTTTCATTGGTTGAAAATTTTTGCGGTTTTCAAATTTTGGACGTGCATCTTGTGAAAACAGAAACTTTTGAAGCATGAACCCCAGATGAAAGTGATTTTGAAAAAGATCTGTTGCAACAAAACATGGAGAAAGAGGAGTCAACGAATTCGTCTAAAGATTTGAAGATGGAGGTGATCAAATGTATAAAAGGAGTGGAAATTCCTCTAGTTGTCAATCCCAGAAACTTCTTTAATTCATCATCAAGTTTTCAACTACAAATTCAAATCTTATTACAAACAATCAACTTTCACAATGGGTTTAGCAGATCATCATCTTGTGAAGAAATTCTACAATGCTGAGGAAAAGTCTGAAGGTTCTACCTTCATGGCTGTCTTTGTCGGTTTATTTGCTGCCTTTGGTGGTATCTTATTTGGTTACGATACTGGTACAATTTCCGGTGTCTTAGCTATGCCTTATGTTTTAAAACATTTCCCAAAAGATCAACCTGGTGTTAATGGTGGTGAAGGTGTTTTCTCATCATCTGAACATTCTTTAATTGTCTCCATTTTATCTGCTGGTACTTTCTTCGGTGCTTTATTAGCTCCTTACATGAATGATACCATTGGTCGTCGTTGGACTTTAATTATTTCTTGTGCTGTTATTTTCAACATTGGTGTTATTTTACAAGTTGCTGCTCATGATATCAACTTATTAGTTGCTGGTCGTGTTATTGGTGGTTTTGGTGTCGGTTTAGTCTCATCAACTGTCCCATTATATCAATCTGAAACTACTCCAAAATGGATTCGTGGTGCTGTTGTCTCATGTTATCAATTTGCCATCACTATTGGTTTATTATTAGCTTCTTGTGTCAACAAAGGTACCCACAACAGAGATGATTCTGGTTCATACAGAATTCCATTAGCTATCCAATTCTTATGGGCTTTGATCTTATCCATTGGTATGATCTTTTTACCAGAAACTCCAAGATTCTTTGTTCACAAGGGTAAATCTGATGAAGCTATGAAATCATTGGCAAGATTAAGAAAATTACCAGCTGACCATCCTCAATTAGTTGATGAATTAGGTGAAATTGTTGCTAACTATGAATTTGAAATGAGTCAAGGTAGTTCAAGCTGGGCTGATTGTTTCTCACTCAAAAACTCTCAATTGAAAAGAATTTTCACTGGTTTTGCTATTCAAGCTTTCCAACAATTAACTGGTATTAACTTTATTTTCTACTTCGGTACAACTTTCTTCAAAAACTCTGGTATCAAAAATGAATTCACTATTCAATTAGTTACAAACATTGTTAACGTTGTTGCTACTATTCCAGGTATTTTCTTGGTTGATATTTTAGGTCGTCGTTCTATGTTGATTGGTGGTGCTATTGGTATGTGTACCTCTGAATTATTGATTGCCATCATCGGTGTTGCTACCAAATCAGATGCTGCTAACAAATGTTTAATTGCATTCACCTGTATCTTCATTGCCTTTTTTGCTGCTACTTGGGGTTGTGATGCTTGGGTTGTTATTGGTGAAATCTTCCCATTGAGAACAAGAGCTAAATCTATTGCTATCTCAACTGCTAGTAACTGGTTATGGAATTTTGCCATTGCTTATGCAACCCCATACTTGGTTGATGATGCTCCAGGTTCTGCCAGATTACAATCAAAAGTTTTCTTCATTTGGGGTGGTTGTAACTTCTTATGTATCTTGTTTGCATTCTTATTTGTCTATGAAACTAAAGGTTTGTCATTGGAAGCTGTTGATGAATTATATGAATCTGTTCCAAATGCTTGGAAATCTGCTGGTTTCATCCCAACTGAACACAACTACTCAAGAAAAGTTGCTGGTGATGAAGTCTTTGATGAAAGAAAAGCCACTATTACCAACGTTGAAGATGCTAAGGGAGGTATTCTTGAACAAAGATCAACTGCTTCTGAATCAGTTTAATCATCGTTTCCACCTATTTATTCAATTCTCCGGACCGTTATTGTTCATTTATTAATTTTATCTCATGTGTTTACGAATTTTTTGCTACTAGAACTGTTTATAGTATAAAATAATTTATTTTAAGTTTAAATTTCATTACTGTAGTGTTATAACTTGAAGCACAATATAATTATAAAGCTAATAAAGTGGGCTCTAGAGGGATGACAATGATTTTATGATGTACATACACCTGTAGAGTTCAGAAAAAAATTCGATTCGCGAAAAGGTGGTGAGGGAGTGCTCTTATCAATACTTCGCGAAAAGTTTTGTGGTTGTCACAGTTTCTTTGTTTACTTTTTCTTCGAAAAACAAAAACATCAACTTTTTGTTATACATGATTTGTTTTTGTGTACATTTGAAAACCATACTTTTTGAACATTAATAATTTTTTCCCAAACCGCAAAAAGTCACATAAGCAACCACTGAATATCCACAGAAATCAAAATTCTTTGATCCACAAATTACGCCCGTTAAGAAAAGAAGGACGTATCAACACTTCAACTTTCATCATCATTTATTCAAAATCATCACCGTCGGCTACATTCAGAAACCAAGTGCATACTAGACTGAACACACTACTATTTCCTCATCGTTTACAATAGCTGCTATCCTCTTATTTCTTTTCACTAGTTTTCCTTAGCAATGGCAAAATATCATTCAGACACAGAATCAGAGTCTTATCGTTATGATGATAGTAATAACTCGTCAGATGAATCCGTCACAGACTTGGACATCCCTGATTTCAATGACAAAAACGCTATTCAGATAGCTGAATACCTTGACTCAAAGCTTCACAATGTTAATAAAAGATCATCTGGCGTTTCTACCAGTACGGATTCTGGGACCAAGCATTGTCAGAGTCCTCCACCTGAAAGATTATGGACACCACTATCCCAATCAACTCCTGCTGATATTCCTCCAAATAAATTTCAACCTAAAGATATACTGAAAGCTAAATCAAAACTGTCTAAACTCTCTGCAAATGCTAATGAAACCATCCAAGAAACTGATGATGAACATGAGGACAATGATTACACAAATCAATCAACAAGAGGTCCAAGCTTTCAAGATGAAACACCTTCAAAAGCCCAAAAAAAGTCGCCAGCTCCTGTCAATTTAGTAGAGAAACAAAACAAGGCGGATGAAACAGAACTTCAAGAACTTAGAGAGTTAAAAAAGTATCTACAGAACTTACAAAATGGATCTGTGATTTTAGAAAGCTTCAAACAGTCCAATAAAAATATCAAAATTTTAACTAAAGAGCAATTTGAGAAAGGTGAACAAGATCTCAAATCGCTGGAAGCAGATATTACCATGGTCAAAAAGCAAAACTCAGAATTAAAAGAAGAAATATCTATTCTCAAGGATTCAAATTTGAGTTTGAAAGAAGTCATTAGTCTTAAAAGCACAACAATAGAGGAGCTCAATACTTTATCCGAAGAGTCAAAAAGTAAGTTCAAAGAGGTACAGAAGATAAAAGAAGAGAAGGAAGAGATTATCCAGACCTTGGAAAAGAAGTTGTCTGATTTGATTGGTGATACAAGTGAGGAAATAACACCAGAGAGATTTCCATCTTTAAGCTTTAAAGGCTCCAATGGCAAATCAGTTTATGATACACTTGAACTTGGATTGGTTGATTCATTGAACTTGTCCAAATCACACAACATCATTAAAAACATTTTGATCAATCTACTGGTACCATTTTCAGAGACAAAAGAAACTATTCCAAAGATTGCAAAATTATTAGAAAGTGAAGATGTACTCTGTGAATTTTCAAACAAGCTCCACAAACTTATTTATGAGCAGGATATCAACATTTCAAAGTTCCAAAATGAACAGAATGGAAATGATCATTTGAGACAATGCACATCTCAGATGTACAAGAACGTGGAGACTCTGTTTAAAGAGTTAAAGCCAAATGTGTAATGAAGGACCAATATTTATTAATTCAAAGACTTTTATATGTGACTTTACCCATCATTATGATCTTCATGATAATTTTAACTTCTTGTAGTGTATCTGGTAGTACATGGTGTTCGGATGTTCTGCGACGTTATACTTGAAAAAAATTCAAATCTCTATACATCTATTGAAATGTTCCTCAGCGGAACTTCTATGATCCAATGAAGACAGATTATTATGAATTGCTAGGCGTGGAGTCTGCTGCAACTGACATTGAACTTAAAAAAGCTTATAGAAAGAAGGCACTTCAATACCATCCAGATAAAAATCCAGACGATGTTGAAGCCGCTACAAAAGTTTTTGCACAGATCAGATTAGCATATGAAGTGCTTTCAGATTCACAAGAAAGAGCATGGTATGATGCTCATAAGAACCAAATATTGAGAGAAGATGATGACTATTATGCTGATGATGGTGATGATTTGGAGCCTGAGGTGACTGGTACAACAACAGAGGAGATCTTGAAGTTCTTTGATCCTTCACTATACACTAGAATTGATGATTCAATGGCTGGTATGTACGTACTAGCGGGAAGAGTGTTTGATAAGTTGGCTTCAGAAGAAATTTTAGCTGGTCGTCAACAAGGTTTAGATAAATATGCCACCTATCAAGACGATGACCCAACAGAGCTGACAAACGTTATGTATCCAAAGTTTGGAAGAAGTAAATCTGATTATGGAACACAAGTGAGGAAGTTTTATCAAGTTTGGTCATCATTTGCAACTGTCAAGACTTTTTCGTGGAAAGATGAATACAGATACTCAACAGCTGGTGACCGTCGTACTAGACGTGCAATGGAGAGAGAAAACAAGAAGGCAAGAGATACTGCTCGTCGTGAATACAATGAAACAATTAGAAGCTTTGTTTCATTCTTGAAGAAACGAGACCCAAGAGTGAAAGAAGGAGCTGCTGCATATGAACAAGAAAAGAAAAGAAAAAATCAAGAAGAGCTTCGCAAACAAATTGCCAAAGATCGTGCCGCTAATGCATCGAAAAGGGGTGAATATGAAGCTCAAAATTGGCAACAGATTGATGACCTTGAGTTTCAGGAAATTGAAAGCCATTTTGTTTCAGGTGATGAAGAAGCCAGTGAAGATGATGGTGACGTTCAAGTCTTCGAATGTGTTATTTGTGATAAAGTATTTAAAACTGAGAAACAGTTCCAGACTCATGAAACTAGCAAAAGGCACAAGAAATTACTTGCTAAACTGAAGTGGGAAATGAAACAGGAAGGTATTGTTTTAGGAATAGATCCTGTTTCTGATGAGAGTGACTTTGATACGGCAGATGAAGACTATACAGATGAAGATGAAAGTAATAACGAGGACTTGAGTGGTGAGCCAGGTGCTGCAGATGAGATAGATGAAGAAATAAGGAAGATAGAAGAGCAATTGAAAGATCTTGGTGATTCTGATTATGAAGATGAAAAGAGTGCTCCACTAACTAAAAGTGAAGTGAATAACGAATTGGACGCTGAAAAGGGACCAGCAAAAGAAAACGAAGATGAAGATCTGGAAATAGATGATGATATAGAGAGTGATTTAGAATCAACAGAAGAAGATATCCCAAAAAAGAAACTGTCAAAGAAGGAGAAGAAGAAACAAAAATATAATAGAAATAAACCCATACTCAAGGAGGAGTCTGAAGAAGAGATTGATGAACTAGCGAAACTTGCTGCAGCGTTAGAAACAGGGGTATCTCTAGCAGAAGAGGAATCAGAGGACGAGTGGAGCGTAAACAAGAACAAGAAGAAGAAAAAAGGCAAAAAAGTCACAACAGCAGACACTTCTGCATCTGAGACTCCACCACCATCAGCCCAACCTAAAGATACAACAATAGGGTCTGAAAAATGTTCAGTTTGTAATGCTCAATTTACTTCAAGAAATAAGTTGTTTCAACATGTTAATTCTACAGGACATGCTGCCGCACCAAAGAAGAAGTCAGGAAAGAAGAAACGTTAAAATTTGTAATTAGATATTAGCATTCTATAAACTCAGGTTTCATTATCAACGAAGATTTCTCAACGTAGACCCAACTTGGTCTTTTTGACCTTTGCTATAACAGGCTCTGGGATACCTCTATTATCACTTCCAAGACCTTGACCTGACTTCCAACCAAGTTTCTCCAATAAACGTCTACCGATGTTGTCACTAGAAATTTCTGGAGCATCAGCACCCACAATATCACCTTCTTTGACATGTGCCTTGCTTGGTTTACCTCTTCTGGATGACTTGGATTCTTCAGCTTCAATTTCAACTCTTGGTCTCTTTTGATCAATTCTATTGAAGACCGGTCTTTGTTTACAGAGCAGTCCAATTGAATGGTAATCTGGAATTGAATGGAATGTTCTCTTGTTTTTCACTGCAACAACATGTTGCTGTTTCCCTTGACCAAATTTTCTTGACTTCATGTTGTACAGATATGCAAACTTCATCAATGTTTTGTTACCATGAGGGTCTAATGGTGGGAAAGTCAATGCATTTCTTTTTGAATCATGTAAAAATTCTTCAAATTCGGTACGGAAATCATTAACATATAAAGTGTATGGATATTTCAAAGAAATATCTTTTGAAGTGTAATGCTCTCTTGCAACATTGCTTTCTCTATCTCTTTTCTTGCCTTTTTTATTGTGTCTTTGTGCTTGATACTGATCAGCTAAGGATTGACGCAAGTCATCATCTGCAATATGGTCCAGATCTAATTCTTTCTTTCTACCTTTACCTCTTGTTTTAAGTGTCTTTGTTTCGTATTCAGCCTGTCTAACACCATCATACTTTGTAGTGTACTTAACCAGTTCATCTAAGCCTTCATCATCATAATCATCCTGATCATTTCCTATTTCTTCTTCAGAGTCTGAATCACTATCACTGAAGGGAATATCATAATCTTTCTCTTCAGGCTCTTCAGGAGGTGCAAGTTGACCTTGAACATGCTTGAAATAAGCATTCAATCTATGTTCCGGCATACCATTTTCAATCAAAAAGTCTTGAAACATATCTTGATCAACCCACGAAAAGTCATAAGATCCAGTCAACATAAAACTTTTCATAAAATATTGATTAGAACCTGCCCCATACCTTATATTGATCACATCGACTGATGAATTATCGAAGGACTCATAATCTTCTGGGAGGAAACCGTATTCAGGATCATTATCTTCCTTTTGATCTTCGCTTTCCTTCAAATTGAGTTTTCCAAAATTATTAGTTGTTGTTCCATCATTAGTGGTAGGCTGGTTGTCACTATCCTCGTCTTCGAAACCGGAGCCAGCAATGAATTTAGCTTCCTCTTCAAAGTCTTCATCCAACTCTGCAAACATATCCTGATCAAGATCTTTGGTATCTTCTAGATCATCCTCGTTATCACCATCATCATAATCTTCATCATCTTCTTCATCACTGTCTGCTAAATTTTGCATCACACGTGATATATATCTGTTATAAGATTGATACAGATCTTTATTTTGTGTTTTGTTCAGGTCAAGTAAATCTTCATCATCTTCATCCAATTCATATATCGACTGATCGAGATCAATGTCCTTAGTTTTTGATTTTCCAGCAGGCAAAAATGTTTGAACATCACCATTTGAAGCTTGAGATGTAGACAGCAAAACATGACCCACCGAAATGGTTGGATTGTATTCTGTATTTGCACCACCAGATGGGGGTATTATTTGTTGATAAGGTTCATCAACTTTAACCACTCTAACATCTTTATTAATATTATTGTCTCCTTCTTCATCTTTGAAAAACAATTGATCATCTGGAACAGACTCTACTTTGTTTTTTATAATTGTCTTTTTTTCCTTTAATATTGGTATATCTTTAACTTCGATCTTTTCAACAGCAACTTTAGGAGGATCGAGTAACTCCCCATCATCCTCCACAACAGCTGGTGCTTCATTGTCATCAGATATCATCTCAACATCAACTGCATTAACGGATCCTTCATCTTGATCATCATCCTCAAATTCATCATTTCTATTATTATTATCGTTTGCCTCCGTCTTGACAAATGAAACTTCATTTTTATTTATTTTTTCAAGGTAATCTTCTTTTTCTTTGAGCTTCCTTATGATATCATTAGATGGATCAAATGTAGAAGCTTTAACAAACTCAACTGGTCTCTTCCTTAGTGGAAGCTTCATTGTATTCTCCATATTTTCTTCTGTATTGAGTGCTTCATCTTGTAATCTAAAACGACGTTTAGAACCTCTGGCAGCTGCAGCCCGTAGAGAGTGTTCTGGATTGGATGGTAACAAGAAGTCTACTGCATCACTCAAGTCATGCAACTCTGGGAACTCTCTTTGAGAACTAGGCCAAACATGATCACCATCTATGGTTTTGGTATTGCGGTTCTTCTTCTTGTTGTACTTGTTGTGTTTACCACCGATGTAGCCTCCACGACCGCCTCTGCCAGGTCTTCCTCTTCCACCTCTAGAACCACCTCTACCTCTTCCACGCTTTGGCATTTCTAAAATATTCAATTACAACTCAAAAGTGTGTTGATGTGATTTAGAAGGTGAAACGTGAGATTAATGGTAGAAAAGATTTGTAGAGACAAGTTACCAAAGTGAGTGCCCCTAACATCACGTTTTTCATCACATGACCAAATCTTTATCTATGGAATTTCGCATAATCAATCAGAGTACAGAACAGCAAAAACAGAACCGCTTAATTCAAACTGAACAGCCTTTGAGTGGAACCTGTGAATTGCATAGATCATCACAGCAGATTTCATTGAGCCCTTGGAGGATACACAAGGCTGAGATTATAAGAAGTTGATAGGGACTGGGCTGGGTTAAGTGGCGATCGAGATATTGGTAGACGCCTTCGTTTGTTGTTTGGTTTAGGTTACAAAGAAAGATGTCTTCAGGCAGTGGTTTTCAAAGAGTTGTGCAGCTCTTTTGGGATAAAGACTTAGAGAATACAGATCATGAGAACCCAATTGTGGTCTTAGGGAACATATACAGCTTCAAGCAGGATAGCCCCAGAGAAGATGATCAAAGTGACACATCCGCTGAAACAAGACCAAATGAAACCCCAGAAAAAGCACATCAAGCTGATATATCAATAAGTGAATTCAAAAATTATTTCCAAAGCTTTGGAATTACAGGTAATAACACCCCTTCCATCAAGAAAGAAAAAGAGTCAAATATATGGCCACAGGAGTTTATCGATGATGTTTACACAAGAATATGGCTTACTTATAGGACAAAATTTGCACCAATAAATCGTGACGAAGATGGACCGTCACCAATCTCATTACATAACTTGATTAGAGGACAGAATTATGACTTGAACAGTGAATACTTCACAACAGATTGCGGATGGGGATGTATGATTAGAACTGGTCAGACGTTGTTAGCAAATGCACTCCTCAATTTACATCTTGGGCGCCAATGGAGGTTTAGCGAAGAAGCAAATGAAAAACACGAACAGATTGTTTCTTGGTTCATTGATTGCCCTTCACATCCCTTTTCAATACATAGGATTGTTGATAAGGGAAGAATTTTGTCAAATAAAAAGGCAGGTGAATGGTTTGGTCCATCAGCTGCTGCCAGAAGCATTCAAGCATTGTGTAACGATTTTGATTCAGGATTAACTGTTTATATTGGTTCTGATAGCGGTGATATTTATGAAAATGATGTTTTCAAAGTTGCTAAAGATGACACCGGAGTGTTTCAGCCTGTTCTCATATTATTAGGTGTTAGATTGGGAGTTGAAAGCATCAACAAACTGTATTGGAATAGCTTGAAGTCCATTTTACAATCTTCTGAAAGTGTCGGTATATCTGGTGGAAGACCATCTTCATCACATTATTTTTTTGGCTTTCAAGGGGATTATCTATTTTACCTTGATCCACATTTTCCCCAACAGGCTTTACTTCACGAGGATAAGTTGGAAAACTCTGTCAGTGAAAGTACAGAAATAGTGTCTTCACTTGATATCCAATCAGTTCACACCAAGAAGTTGAGAAAAATTCATTTGTCTGAGGTTGACCCATCTATGTTATTAGGATTTTTGATAAAAGATGAGCATGAGTGGCTGGATTGGAAGCAAAAGATCCAAGATGCTGAAAATAAAAATAGTGTTGTTCGTATATCCCCTGATCATACCCCTAGAGATTTTTCCAAGAGGAAGCCATCGTTTGTTGTTTATGATAAGAATGGCGATGATTTTGTTGACGTTGGTTTAGAGTATGAAGACTTACCAGAAGATGAAGAGTTTGAGCAGGTTGATGAAAGTCAAGCTGTTGCTGATCCATTAGCGCAAATTGGACAAAATCAGACCTCAAGTGTCGAAATTTCCAATTGTATTGACCCATCTGGAACTATAGCAAATGGCTCAGTGATAATTCTCCCAAGGGAAATTGAAACAAAAACTCCACTGAATACTGAAGAACAAAAGGCTATAGCTGGAAGTTTTGATACCACAACAGAGTCTTTTGAAAATTATTCCACCTCAATAAAAGATGATTACGAAAACATTGGTACCAGTTCAGTCGGGGTGGTGGGTAACATTTCGGAAGAAACAGTTGATGACATGACCAGTGTGAAAGCTGATGAAGAACCGTATGTTGTCCAAAATTCAGAGATTGATTCTTCATCCCCAGCCACTGTTTCAGAAACTGTTTTTCAAGAAGATTGGGAATCTTCAAGTTGACTGATTCAATTTGTTTTGAAATTAGATTGAATTGGGCTGGTCTCATTATCTATTCAACCATTGATTATTACATAGAGAAGGTTTTATTGTGTTTATAGTGATTGTAGTACTTTTGTTCAGTCTTATGGTTTTGGATTTGTGATTACATAATCATCATAGTAAATTTTCGATTTTTCCACCATTGATTTTTGAAGCTGGTGAACATAAACTTATTTCGAAATCTTTCCAGGAATCTTCATCATTGAATAAACTTTGAAATAGACTTTGACCATTAATATAAACTAGAAGATGAGTGAACTAAAGTTTTGTACGGTGTGTGCAGTCAACAATAATCGGTATGTTTCCATTGTCGTGGCAAAAAATCAAATCTGGCAACTAACACTTTTATGTAGTTCCATGGCTGCTCACAAGCTTTTAAAAGATAATGGGTTCACCGTGTCGTCATATGGTACCGGTTCAGCAGTGAGGCTTCCTGGTCCAAGTATTGATAAACCAAATGTTTACCCATTCGGAACACCTTATGATCAAATATACAAAGAATTGGAAGCGCAAGACCCAAAACTATACCAAGCTAATGGTATTTTGAGGATGTTGGATAGAAATAGAAAGATTAAAAAAGCACCACAAAGATGGCACGAGGGTAGAGAGACATTTGACTTTGTGTTTACTTGTGAAGAAAGATGTTTTGATTCAGTTTGTGAAGATTTATTACATAGAGGTGGTAATCTAAATAAAGTTGTTCATGTTATTAATGTGGATATTAAGGATGATGATGAAAACGCAAGAGCTGGTGGTAAAGGGATTTTAGAGCTTGCTAGCAAATTAGCAGAAGCTTCAGAAGCATCAAAGACTCATAAGGATAGTGTACCTTTTGAAGATAAGATTCTTGATATTTTGACAGAATGGCAAGAAAAGTACTCAAATCTACCGTTACTATATGCCCCAGCATTCTATTAAAACTTGTATCATTATGCACAAAAAAAAGATTAGAGAACAATTTGTCTATTGTTAATGGTTAATGTTGATTTACTACAATGAATGTATTTGTAATGTAGCCTTTCTATTTAAATTATTATAAACGTTCATGAACCTGTCTACCGTTTACCCAAACCTTTGTGGTGTTTCTATCATCACCATTAAATAACCATTTTGCAACCATGTTTTGAAACTTGACGAAATCATCTTTTGAAGTGGATTCTGTCTCTTCTGGAACTTGCCATTCAAAGACATCAACTTGAGAATCTTTAGCTTTTAAATCAATTAGCTGAGCATCCCATTTCATACCTTCTTTGAAAAGACCAACCTTATCATCTAACCCAACAACTTTTGCACCACCAACTGTAGCTAAGTATAATACATCTTCCACTGACAATTTGTTATGATCAGAGGTTTTCATAGCTAAATGTCTTGAAACCAATAAAGCTTGACGAGCTGTGGATAAAACAGAAGGCGAAAAGCCACCAGAGACATCAGTTCCCAATCCAACAGGGATATCATTATCCAATAACCATCTAATTCTTGCCTCACCCGAAGTTATAGCACTATTTGAAATAGGACAATGCGAAATACCCGATCCTTTTGATCTGATTAGATCCTTTTCATGATCAGATAAATGAATAGCATGTGCCAAAATAGTTTTATCATCTAAAAGGCCATGATCATTATAAACATCAGCATAACTTTTTGAATTTGGGAATAATTCCGCAACCCATTCAATTTCACCTTTATTCTCAGAAATGTGAGTTTGTGAATGTAAATGATGTTCTTTTTTCAAATCTCCCAACCAGTTGAGAAGTTCTGAAGTACACGATGGAGCAAATCTTGGTGTTAATATAGGAGCAACTAATTCATTCTTCGGATCAACTTGTTTAATATGATCAATAACTTCCATTGTGCTTTCTTTTGACTCTTCTAAAGTTTCAATATAATAATCTGGAGCATTATCATTCATACAAACTTTACCAATGAATGCTCTTTGGCCATGATGAAGGGCAAGATCTGTTAAAAGGTTGGTTGCATCTGTATCGATCGTGGCATAATAAGCAGCACATGTTGTACCATTAGCAACAGTTCTAGTGATGACTTTATTGTAAACTAATTCAGCTTTGTCCAAGTTCTTCAGTGAAGCTTCTAATGGGTATGTATAAGTAGTTAACCAATCCAATAATGTGGAGTAACCAAAGATTCCATTGTTTGGGTATTGTGGAGCATGAATATGGGTATCAATGAAACCTGGGAAAAAGAATGATTTGGCATTAGCGGATATGTCAACGACATCAGCAGTGGTATCATCTATCAGCTTGAGTATTTCATTTAAAGTCTTATCAGCATAAAATTTGCTAATGAAACCATCTTTATCAACAAGTGCACCAGAATTTGTAAACACTTCGATAGCGCCTAGTTTAGGTGTGTGAATGAAATTCCCATAGTATAATGTAGCTTTGGCTGGAGTAAATTGCTTGTTGAAGATAGGCACAGTCATTATAACAAGAGTTCCAAACTTCTTCAAAGCATCTGTGAATATGGTGTAAAACTGGAGCAAACACAGAGCTTTATATCTTTTTTTCGTCTTGTTGATGTTTGTCGTATTCAAATTTTTAGTTTGCCGTAGGTGAACCCGTGGCAAATTTTCAAAAGCCACCGGTCCGCGGAACGAAGTTTGATGGAAAAAACTTCAAGTAAACTTGAATTCATCATCAAAGACTTCGGCGAGATCCAAATTTCAATTATAAACATGATTGTACAATCAAAAGAGAAAGGGATACACCGATGATAGGACATGCCCGTTGCGTAGTTGATTTACATGTGTACGAGTTATTTAAAAGTGTGTAACGTCGAAGCAAATCACCGACACGAAAAGCAACAGATTTGATTTTGTATCAATTCCTTTTCAATCCATCTTCTGATGGCTAGTAAAATGGAAAAGAGGGTGCTTCAGTAAAGAAATAACAATTGTCAATCAAATACCTGAGCAACAGGCATGAAGGAGTAAGACGTCCTCCTAAATACCTTTGGGTGTGAAATCCAAATCATAAAGACAAGGAGAGGTGAAATCAAAAATTATAAGACCCACCCATCCTCCATAAGGAGAATGTCAGCAAATATACAGGATGCGCTGTGCAATGCAAACAAGTATACCTGATCACCAAGACTTCTTGATCTCTGGCGACGTCTTAAGGTAAGTATGAAGAAAAAAAAATGTAAGGGAAAACAAAGTTTTCAAAGCGGATTCGGGCCCTTTTATAGTTTTTTTCAAGGGGGTTACCCTCATATTCACGCCCGTCAAAACCAAAACATAGGGCATATTATAAAGCATTAGTACCTAGATTTAACAATGGTTAACTGATGTATTCTTATTAGATTGAATTATCAACGAATACAATTGAATAGTGCTATTGTGCTATTTTCAATTCCAAATTGCTCATTCTTGTTTGACTGTGAGAGGAGGATCTGTTCTTTTTGGTGTAATTTGGACCAATTCCACGTCTGCAACATACACAGCCTATCATGAATCAATTGTTTGAGCATATCTGGCTTTCTGTTGATAAGTCTTCAGTTTGATCTGAACCAGTATTGTACATTTGCCAGTTACCACTATATGGATGTCTTTTCTTTTCTACCAACACCGACGCGACTTTTTTTGTATTTCGCGTTTGAATAAAAAAATAACAACATAAACAATTGAATAACATACTTGCTTGAAAGAATCACCATCGATAAAAGTGTTGCTCAAGATGTCAGGATCACCAGCTCAAAACGGAATTGACTTGACTGAATTCAAGCAGAATAAGCGCCTTATCGAAAGTCTTGTGGAGGATAAACTTGCATTGAAGCGCCAATTACAACAAAGTGAAGTTGTTAGGGAAAGAGCTTTGCGTCTATTGGCAAGATATGAACAGGTTCTACTGTCAAATACTCCCACTGGGAGAATGTATCATTTCTCAGATGGCATTGCCTTTATGGAATTTGTTGAAGGTGATTTGAATCAGGATGCTCCTCTCAATAATACTCAACCTTTTGCTTTTTATGGTCTACCAGCTCCACCTCAAGCTTCACCAGCTATTGCAGGTCAAACAATACCTCCAGTACCAGCTCCAAATCAATTTCCAGCAGCAGCCCCATTTCCAGCTCCAGCTCCACCTATTGGTGCTCCAGTTACAGCACCTGTACCATCACCAATGTTACCTCAAGTACAACCACCGATTGCACCAACTGAACAGGAATCAAGACAGAAGAATACCTCCTCCGATCAGTTCAAGCCTCCTCAAAACCGTCCTTCACATGGAACATCACTACAACCTCCAAAGAACAATGTTCCTGTCATGAATTCTCCTTCTATCAATGCCCTCAACCAAAGAACAGAAAAAGGCCATCACTTGCCAAACACGACACAATTACCACCAAATAATACACCACCATTGACACCACTCAACAGAACAGGTAATTCTGCTGCTCCTAATTCTAACAATGGTGCTGGTAACATCACAACCATCTCAAATTCACCTTTTGTTAAAAATACACCAACATCAAATTTAGCTACAAAGACCACAAGTTCAGGATCTTCAACTTCTAGTCAAAGTAAACCAAAGAGATCATTCTATCTGCCAAATGATAACCTGCCTGTTTCAACAAAGAGAACTGAGGTCTCTGATAATGAAAGTGATGAAAGTAATTATGCTACCCCAGAAAAATCAATTGGAGATGCAAACCTAAATAATACAACTAATCCAATAAATAAAGAGCAAGAAATTGGAAATCCAGCACCTCAAACCAATGATTCAACATTAGCAAGACCAGCTCCATTACAAACAACTCAATCAAGCGGCTCTGAGAAAGAAAATATCCAACCACCAACTACAGAAAATAGCATAGCTTCTAAACAGTCATCTATCAACTCCTCACAGAAAAGGCCACTTGAAGATAGTCAAGCTTCTGAACCAAAAAGACCTAGAATTGCCGAATCAACTGATTCTCAACCAAAATCTTTCCAAGAATTTGAAACTACTTCCAAATGTTTATCAATTTTACACGCTTCAGAATATGGTCTTTCAGTTGCCGTGAATTTCGCACAAGGTAAAGCTTACAACAATGTTGAGACGTTATTGGACCATGCTTATTACTATTTCTGTTTGCGCAATAGAGTTATCGTTGCAGCCAAAAAGACAGATTATTCACATGGTGGTATGATTCAACATCATTGTCATACTTGTGCTAAAGTTATCTTCAAAGCTGAAGTTACCAATACACAGGCTGCTCGTATTCAGCTATTGGAGAAGAATCATGAATGTTCAATTGGTGATATCAAGAATCAATTGAAGAGATTATGGAAAACTGATAAAGATGCACAAGAAAAGATGAAATTTTTTGATCATTTTTATCAAGAGTTTGGATTACCAAAGACTAAGAATTTGATTTATCAATATGGGTTAAGAAAAAAATCATCATGGGAAATTACAAATTTAACTACAACTTTCTTACAGAAAAATGGAGCAGTTTTAGAAGAATTAGTGGAAGCTACAAATTATACAACTGATCAATTAGTGAGACTGTTCAGTTTATACATTTTACGTATAACGGATAAAGATGTCAATGATGAGAAACTAAAAGAAATTGCAGCTTCACAAAATCTGAAGTTTACTTACAACACTAAATAGTTATATTGAATGTGTCTATGTTTTTTATGACCCTTGATGTAGTTTTTTTCTATGTCTGAACAACATCCCACGTTGCTAGACGTCCATAATCAGTTCCAACATTTCTAACGATACAATATTTTTTGCTATCATTTGGTTGTAGTTTAGCATAATTTGCATCAATTGCACCAACACCAGTATTGAACCCCTTTGTTAAACTATAACTACCACTTGTTATGAACCCAATCAAATTTGAAGAATTTGGCATATCTGGATACTCATTAACTTTTCTACCAGTTGCCTTTTTAGCACGTGTAGCTTTTAACCAATCTGATAAAGATGGTTCAGAGATGGAATAAATTCTAGCATTATCTGCAGTGGAACCTCTACCAACCAATTCAATCTTGATTGGAACAACAGGTAATGGATCATTTGGAGATTCAGGAATTTTTGGTTCTTCCAATTCATTTAATAATTTGATTGGATTGATTAAAGTTTCACCACGAGCATCAGCCTCTTTATCCGATTTCTTGACATCTTGGATAAAATTATAAACATCATGAGGTTCTTCAATATCACGTTCAAATTTTGAATTCCATGAAGATGTTCTTGTACTTTTATCTAATTTAACTTGTGATAACCCAAATTTTAAAATTTGTAAATATCTCCAATCAGCACTAAATGGATCACCCAATTCACCTGTTTGTAAATCATTTTTAGAAATTTTCAATTTTGCATAATTGACTCTTTTAGAGATTGGTTTTTTTTCCCATTTTGCAGTTTTCTGTTTTGATGCTAATAAATTCTCCACAAATCCTGATCTTGTGAATGGATAATCATCTGGGAAATAAAGTTTGTGTTGCTCAAATTTCAATTGATGTGATTGTAATAACCCACCATGATTCATATGTGCAATATGATTAATGGCATGCCATACAGGTAAGACCCAGTACCATGGTAATAATACAGTCCAATTATTTGATGAGGATTTATAAATAACAACTGGGAAACTTGAAGGGTTTTTAATTTCATCTTGATCTTTCTTTATGGCCACTTGTTTCAATGATAATTGATCTTTATATGAGTTAGTTCTTCCTTCTGATGTTAACAAACTCTCCACCACATTTGTGTTTATATTAGATTTTGAAGTCTTCATTTCTATTAGGGTATCAAAAATGTCAGTGTTTTGTGCAGGTCTTGGTTTGTTTCTATTTGCCAATCTTGGGTCAATTGCTTGATATGTGAAAACAGTATTATCTGGTAAAGTGCTTTCTGTACAAAGCTTCCCAAAGATCTTAGATTCCTCAGCTTTAGGGTCACTTGGTTTTAAAATTGTGGCTAAAGATGGTAATGATATTGGACCACCAACTTCAATACTTCCTATTGCATATCTATTATCAATGATTTCAACATCTTCTGATTTGATTTGTAATAAATGATTGAAGATGTCTTCATAAATGGATGGATGCAGTCTAACAACCAGTCTTTTAGCATTGTTTTGCTCATTTTTAAAGAAAAGAATTGTTCCATCTCCTAAAACTTCAAGTTCCTTATATATTAAACCTTCATAAATTGCACCATTTTGTAAAAATCTTTTACCAGTAGCTTTACCATTAGTCAATTGTGATAACAAAGAGGCAATTGATTGGATGTTATCGGTTTGAATGACTAATGTGTTTATATAACTTTTATCCCAAGTGATACCACCAGTTAAATTGAAATTTCTATGAGACAGTCTAAAAGCCTTTTGAGTTGGTTTCAAAGGAATTTGGAACCCCCATCTCTTAATCAGGTGTGACCTTTTAGCATGCCATACATGAGTTGATAACCAAGTGAACTTTCTTTGTCTTTTCATATATTTAATCTTCCCAATTGGTAGTGATGCTAATTGATTTAATGCAGTATTGTCATAAGAACCAACATTATTGTTAATTTTAATAAAGTTACCAGAATTGGTTTTACTATTTTTGATTTGTTCATTTAATGTTTTAATTCTTTGTCTTATTTTCAACTTACCTGAAGATAATCTTTGGTCAGCTGGTAATAATTTCATTAGATTATTAGCCCTTGCAGCTATTTTCAATAAATTTTTAGCGATTCTTGCCCTGTATAATTCTTTACCTCTCAGTTTTTTCTTCTTCACACCTCCAGATTCGTTAGCCATCTCCCTTATTGCCCTGTTCCTTAGTCTCTTGGGTATCCTTTTGACATTATGTGATGCGGTTCTTCTTCTTAATTTTCTAGGTAAACTTTGGAAAGTTCTTGTTGATGAAGCAAATTTTGAATTTAATTGAGCTTTTTCCAATTCATTGATTTCATATTTTCTAGATTTGAGGAAATCGTGTACGTTTAGGACACCATCTTTATTCAAAGCTTTTGGAAGGTTAGTTTCAATGTCAAAATGAGTTTACAAAGCGTATTACATACCTGGATCATTAGTTTCTGATCTGATCTGTCTAGACTGTTTTCTTTTCAACTTTCTATAAGTTTTTGAGTCAACGTTCCCCGAGCCACTATCACCAGAGCGCTTTGAGGCCATGGTCAAATACTCCAAGGTTATCCAATCCAATTAAAATTACTTGAATTATGTCAACATAAACTTTTTAATTCTAGTTAATAAAAACCAGCGCCAAAAAAAATTGGCTTGTGCGTGGCCCTTTACCAAAAAAGACAATCGCGAATGCGTTTTGCAAATCTGCCATTTTATCACGTGTCGTTATGTTTTGCTTTTTTGCTTTTGGGCCAACATCAAAGCAATTCTCAACTTCACAGAGTCAAACTCGTGGTGATCAGTGTGAGATTGAGTTGTTCAGATTTAAAGGGTATTTGATTTAAGTTCCGTAGATTAGATTTGTATAAAATTCTATATAAAACTTTTTTGTATTTATAACCATCAATCCTATCAAATTAATTGTATCTCTCTGAGAATCCTATTCCTGTTTCAGAGTCAGTGAGACGAAATTAAAATCAATCAATATTTCGCGGAGGGCTCCTTTAACCTTGGTCAAGTTTGATTTAACCAGTCCATCAACTGGCACACACACTGAGTCATTTTCTCGGTGCATCTGTTTCCCATAAAAGGATTTGGTGCTGCTTAAAATTTTTTTACCCTTGAATATTTCCATTTGAGTTGGTAACGTGTATTCGTTCATTAACTTTAGTATCCTATACTTGGTTGATTACAATAGAAATATCTTAGATAAAAGTTCTTAATCATGGCTGACGTTGTTCTTGGTTCCCAATGGGGTGATGAAGGTAAAGGTAAACTAGTTGATATCTTGTGTGAAGATATCGATGTTTGTGCCAGATGTCAAGGTGGTAATAATGCTGGTCATACTATTGTTGTTGATGGTGTCAAATATGATTTCCATATGTTACCTTCAGGTTTAGTTAACCCAAAATGTCAAAACTTAGTTGGTTCAGGTGTTGTTGTTCATGTTCCTTCCTTATTTGAAGAATTGGAAAACTTGGAAAAAAAAGGATTACATTGTAGAGATAGATTATTTATCTCTTCAAGAGCTCATTTGGTTTTCGATTTCCATCAAAGAACTGATAAATTAAAAGAAGCTGAATTATCTGAAAATAAGAAATCAATTGGTACAACTGGTAAAGGTATTGGTCCAACTTATTCAACAAAAGCTTCAAGATCTGGTATTAGAGTTCATCATTTAGTTAACGATGAATCTGAAGCTTGGGGTGAATTTGAAACTAGATATAGAAGATTAGTAACAACAAGAATGCAAAGATATGGTGAATTTGAATATGATATTGAGGAAGAATTATCAAGATATAAAAAATATAAAGAATTATTAAAACCTCATGTTGTTGATTCAATTGAATTTATGCATGATGCCCTATCAAAAGATAAAAAAATCTTGGTTGAAGGTGCTAATGCTCTTATGTTGGATATTGATTTTGGTACTTATCCATATGTTACTTCATCCTCTACAGGTATCGGTGGTGTTTTAACCGGGTTGGGTATTCCACCAAAAGCTATTAAAAACATTTATGGTGTTGTTAAAGCTTATACAACAAGAGTTGGTGAAGGTCCATTCCCAACTGAGCAGTTGAACGAAGATGGTGAAAAACTACAAAACATTGGTGCTGAATATGGTGTCACCACTGGTAGAAAGCGTCGTTGTGGTTGGTTAGATTTAGTTGTTTTAAAATATTCAACTTTAATTAATGGTTATACATCATTAAATATCACTAAATTGGATGTTTTGGATACTTTTAAAGATATTAAAGTTGGTGTTTCATATTCATTAAATGGTCATAAATTAAATTCATTCCCAGAAGATTTAAATAAATTGGGTAAAGTTGAAGTTGAATATGTTACATTACCAGGTTGGGAACAAGATATTACTCAAATTAAAAAATATGATGAATTACCAGAAAATGCCAAAAAATATTTGAAATTCATTGAAGATTATCTTGGTGTTCCAATTGAATGGGTTGGTACCGGTCCAGGTAGAGAATCAATGTTGTCAAAACCTGTCAACTAATACCTTTTTAATTCTATACATGTATATTAGAGAGAATACAATTTCTCATTTTATAGATCATATTGATGTGTAGTATCATTATTTTTTTTTATACAAGTTGTATTGATGATAAACCAATTCAGAACCAGGGATTTGTGGGAAAGGTTTTGGAAATTTCAAGATTCTTGCAGGACCTACGCTTTCTGGATTATTTAAAAATTGTTCAGAATGAATCAATTCCCAACCCTTTCTAACATTATTTTGTTCATCAATGAACCCGATTTCATTTGTTTCTTGATCAATTGGTTGATTAATATCAATAGCATAATCACATTGATCAAATTCAAATAATTTTGATGGATCAAATTTATTTAAATTATTCATATTTGGTGGGATTGAACTTATTGAATCTAAAGTGGATAAAGTTTCATTAAAATCACCTGGTAATAAACCATCAAAATTTGATTTAATAAAACGTAGTCTCAAGTCTTTTGGTAAGAAGAATGAACTTGGATACCTGTACCATTCTCTACCAACACATAAATTACCACTAGCATTTGCAGGGATATGATTATAAACATTCAATGGTGCAATGTAATTACTTGATAATGAATTGATTCTAAGGATTGAAATGATTTTAACGTTTGCGAGGATTGAAAATAATCCAATCAAGTAAAACAAATTTCCAAGTTTTGCTGGTTTTTTAATGAATTTATTCACAGCAACTGAAATTGATTCCAAAATATATCTAGTTGTAAAACTTGCAGATAATATGATTATTGAATATATTGGATACAAAAATCTTTCCTCTTTATGTGGTTGACTGAAGAAAATCCCACTCCAAACTACTATTGGAGATAAAATAGTCAATGTTTCCAATGATGATAACTTATTGTTTTTGGAAATTGAAATGATTGAGCTTAATAATGGAACTAAAGCAACACCAATATAACCCAATATAGCCAAAAGATGGAAATTCAACAATAAATTGATAATATAATAAGATAATGGTTCCACACCAAAGATATTTGGACCTGCATTTTCATCAGCAAACACAACATTATATAAAACGATGTTTAATGGAACCAAAACGGTCTTCTGATAGAATTGTGAATCAATTTCCACACAAATACCAATCAATACTAAAACGATAAAGATTGACCACCCAACAAATCTTTTAAACAATTTGAAAATGTGAATATTCTGCTTGATCACAACAAGAGTTGGTAAAACTGCAAGGATCAAAACAAATGGCCAACCAAATAACCCACCAATTGCAAACCAAAAAGTCACGAGTAATGCATTCTTCATTGCCCTTTTGTGGAAATATTTAATCAAATTACTCATGGCGAGACATGTACAATTCATGGCAAAGCTTGAAGGTAATAAAGCCACTGAAGCATGGGACATTCCTGGTGATAAAGCTGAAAATAGTATGTAGAGCCCAGATAAGTCGAAATCTATTGAATTTTTCAAAGTCCCATAAAGGTGTAGTTCTGAATATAATGTGAATGAAACAACAAGTAATCTTGTTGAATAAAATGCAATTTGTGGTTGTAGTTGGAATGTATCAATGGCTTTGGTGATTGGGAATAGTGGGATTGAGTAGGGAAGTAGGTATGCCCATGATCTTATAGCATAGACTGGTGAGTATTCCCAAGTTTCTTTACCAAATCCTCGTAGAAGGAAATTCAATGGTTCATAATAGTTGAATACTTTTTGGAAAATGTTAGTTGGGTCATAATAATAGAGGGAAGGAATTGTACTAACCTTCATCACAATCAGGGATTATGGAGTAGAAAACACACCATACTCTCACCGAGATCAAGATGAGTGTCCAGCTGTCTTTCAAGTTTATTGTGCCCATTTTGAGGTGGTGTTCAATTGGGTTTGAATCAAGTTGATTGTTGATGACATGTTTACAATTTTTTTTTTCGTGAAGTGGAAAACCTGAACACTACAAAATGAAATAAAAACATGTTTTCTCATAGAATAAATAAGTAATAAATAGATAATAAATAGATAAATAAGTGATAAATAGAGTTCATCATGTCTTGCTGCTGCCAACCCAGGTGTACACTGGATTACGGAATCTCCCATCGTTGTAAACACTTTGCTTAGGCACCCAACCATCAACATCCTTCATAATCTCAGCTTCACGCTCCTTGTCAGCATAGAACCGTCTCACGCTGTCTCTGTCCGTCTCAGCCACAAGCAACGGGGTCATATAGATCCTAGCCCAGATCTTCTCACGGTGCAATTCTCTTCTTTCTTGGATCCCCTGAACAACTCTGTACCAGCCATACCCCATCACCAGCAATGTCCCAGCGAGGAAATAGGCAGGACGGATGCCTCTTGAAGGTAAGTTACGTTTCCATTGGATAGGGTCGTAGCCTCCGACTGGTGGTAAGTCTTGTGCCATGGTTTTAAATGTGATTTAGTGATTTAAAGCTGATGATTTCTCTCCTGAATTTGAATCGAATTGAATTCATTTTTTCGTCATTTTGTAGAAATCGAGTTCGCGAATGCGTTTTACAAAATCAACTTTGATTTTCTTCGTTTTCGGCTCATGATGAGAAATTTGAGTCAAATTGAATAAAATCAAGTATAAAAGAAACTGAGTGTTATTTTAAATATCTTTTCAAATTTACTCACTCCATCAACAAGAATGTCACCTACTAAAATCACTTCAAAGGAACAAGTTTCCCAACTTTTGCAAAACTACGATACGTTTATTTTCGACTGTGATGGTGTTATCTGGTTAGGAGACCATGCTATCCCAGGTGCAGTGGAGAGTATTGAACTATTGACAAGTTTAAATAAACAAGTTATCTTTGTTACAAATAACTCAACAAAATCAAGAAAAGCTTATACTAAAAAATTTGAAAAATTTGGTTTAAAAGTTTCAAAAGAACAAATTTTCGGTTCAGCTTATGCAAGTGCAACTTATCTTCATCAATTTATTAAATTACCTCTTGATAAGAAAGTTTGGGTTATGGGTGAATCCGGTATTGAAGAAGAATTGAAAGAATTGGGATATACTTCAATTGGTGGTACTGATGCAAGATTGGATGAAAAATTTGATGCAAATACAACACCTTTTTTACCAAAAGATTCTTCAGTTGGTGCAGTTATTACAGGTTTAGATACTAAAGTTAATTATCATAGATTGGCTATAACTTTACAATATTTACAAGATCCTAATGTTGAATTCTTGGCTACAAATATAGATTCTACTTTTCCTCAAAAGGGGTTAATCTTGCCAGGTGCAGGTTCAATAATTGAAAGTGTTGCTTATTCTTCTGGTCGTGAATCTATTGCATGTGGTAAACCAAATCAAAATATGTTGGATGCTATTGTGGCTGATAAAGGATTGGATAGATCTAGAGCCATTATGGTTGGTGATCGTTTAAACACTGATATCAAATTTGGTAATGATGGTGGATTGGGTACTTTATTAGTTTTAACTGGTATTGAAACTGAAGACAATGTCCTCAAGACTGGGGCACCTAAATTTTATGCTGATAGTTTGGGAGTTATCGGAGAACTATACAAGTAGAGAGCTATAGATTTTTATGTTATTTATAAATTTGTTATAATTTGTTTAATTTTATTGATTTTAATTGTATTTTAATTGAAGACCGGCTAAATGACCGGCTATTTCAGCCAAACACGATCCGGTTAAAACGCGTTTTAAATCAAAACAAAAACATTCAAAATTTCTACAATTCGCCATCCAAAAAACCATCCAAAAGACATAATGGTTTCATGTCCAATATGTGGTAAAAACGTACACCTGGACAAGATCAATGCTCATCTAGACCAATGTGAACACTCCAAACCTGCTCCAAAACAGGCATCTATTTTATCTTCTTTTAGTCAAAAGCGTAAACTTTCAAATGAAGATCCAATAGTTGTTGAAGATGATGAAGAACAAGAACCAACTCCAAAAAGACAAACACCTTTAAAGCCAGAAGTTCCAACTCCACTACCCAAACCTACGCCATCATCTACCCCTGATAAAGATACAGAAATCAAACAACTACGATCTCAATTATCAACACCATTAAGTGAACGCCTAAGACCGAAAACATTAGATGAATACGTTGGTCAACAACATTTAATTGGACCAGGTGGTATACTTCGAGGGTTTATTGAAAATGACACAATACCTTCTTTGATTCTATGGGGTCCACCAGGTGTAGGCAAGACCACAATTGCAAGAATAATTTCACAAAGGACAAGACAAAAATTTATTGAAATTAATGCAACAAATTCAGGATTACAAGATTTAAGAAAAATTTTTGAAAATTGTTCAAAAGAGTTTTTTTTGACAAAGAGGAAAACTATTGTTTTTTGTGATGAGATTCATAGATATAATAAAAATCAACAAGATTTTTTCCTACCATTTGTCGAAAAGGGTGATGTTATATTAATTGGTGCAACTACTGAAAATCCAAGTTTCCAATTGAATAATGCCCTATTGAGTCGTTGTAAAGTTTTCAAATTGTCGAAATTGGAAATTCAAGAGATTCATAGGGTTTTGAATAAGGGGATATTACATTTAAATAAAATTAGAAAATTGATTTGCAACAAGTCATTATTAACATTTACCAAAAAATCAATTGATTATATTGCAGATTTATCAAATGGAGATTCAAGAATCTCTATAAATTTATTGGAATTGATTGATTCTCATTATCATCATAAAGATTCCGGTACAACTATTGAAGTAGAAGATTTAAAACCAATCCTACAGAAGACTCATTTATTATATGATAGAGTTGGAGATTCACATTATGATACCATAAGTGCATTCCATAAATCAATAAGAGGCTCTGATCCAGATGCTGCATTGTGGTATTTAGGATTAATGTTACAAGGTGGTGAAAATCCATTATACATTGCAAGAAGAATGATTAGAATAGCAAGTGAAGATGTTGGTGTTTTGGATGATAGTTGTTTACCATTTGCCATTGCGGCATATCAAGCTGTAACGATGGTTGGATTACCAGAAGCTGATTTGGCATTAGTACAATGTGCAGTTAAGTTAGCCAAAGCTCCAAAATCTGTAGAGATTTATAGAGCTTGGAAAAAAATTAAAAATGTTTTGAATAATGAACCTACTTTGAGTGGTGCTCCAATCCCATTACATTTAAGAAATGCACCAACTAAATTGATGAAAGAGATGGATTATGGGAAAGATTATAAATATAATCCGGATTTCAAAGATGGGAAAGTTTCACAAGAGTATTTACCAAAACAATTGAAAGGGTTGAAATTCCTTGATGGGAAACATTTAGGTGATATTGTTGATCCTGATTTATGATTACAAGTATAATATATGAAGTTTTTTTTTCAAATTTCAATGACATACTTAAGATAAAAGAAAAAGAACTAGTGGCAGTAAAATGTAGGCTCCTATGTCATTAATGAAAGACAATAGGGGAAAATATAATAATATTTGTAATAAATTAAAGATGCATAATTGATAAAAAAGAAGAAGTCAAAGGAAATTAAAAAAGCACAAACATTAAAATAAAAGATCAGGTCATTAACTAACAAATAAAAAAAATTTTAAGCACACAAGTACTAACAAGCAATCACGTCAAATAACGTTTTATTCTCTCCCTCTCTTCACAACTCTTCTTTATAATAATCTGAAAAAAAACTTCTTGCATTAACAAATTCTTCTCTAGCTTTTTCTAAAGCTTCTTTTATAGCATCTTCCCAATTTCTATCATTTAAACCACCATCAAAATTCTTCTTTAACCCATAGTTTTGAATACGTTCACATTGTTCTTGAATCTTGACTAGACCCAATGAAGCTGCACTACCTTTTAAATAATGACCTAATGATGATAAACTATTTAAATCTGGTTCTTTTGAATCTAATTTTGAATCAATATCTTTGAAAATTTCTTGAGCTTGTTCAATGAATGTTTGAATTAAAGATTTTGAAAACCCTGGTTCATCTTCATCCATTGTTTGCAATTCATTGAAGATTGTCCAGTTTATGATATCTGTAGTCATTGTGTGTATGGAAAGTATAGTATATAAATTGTTGTGTTTATGGGGTGTAACGCGGTATTTGAAAAACTTGATAAATAATGAATGATTCAGGTGAGGATAAGTGTGTAAATGTGTAGATGATTAGCCAGCCTTGGTATGGTTTTATTAGGGCTTTCTCTGATACTAGCTAATGATGTTTGGGTATTCAATTGTGTATAAAATTCTATGTTGTTTCATATACAATTTTGTTGATTCGATGTATTTTTCGTGACGAATTTTTTTTTAGCAGTTCAGAGCTTCTGGAATCGATCAAAATACGCTGGCAATTACGTAATGGCAATACAACGATTAATTAATTGATTAAGTAATAGTATGTGGATTTGGGTAGGTATATTGGTAATAATATGATAAATGATAAAGGTATAAAGTGTTATGAAATTGTTTAATTGTATTAAAATAATTTTGTTCCAATTCAACCTGTTTTCATTGTGTTGATTATGGGTTGAATTAAATTAATTTTAATTATGAGGTCATGATGAGATAAGCAAGAACAAAATACAGTCAGCAATTACTAAGCAATACATCCAGACACCATCATCACCTTCACAAGCACGTGCAGCACCTTCAAAACCATTAAAACTAAAATAATTCAATAATGCTCAGCTCTTTCCACTTCTCTTGACTTCACAAGACCTCCAATGAACTACCAGACGATACACTCAACTGACCAGGAGGAAGAGGAAGAGCAATACACTTTCAACAGGGCCAAATACTGGCTATTTGGTCTGATATCTCTCCCCTTCATCTACTATCTATTCATCTATCTACCAACTTCACAACCTGAAAGAATCACAATCCCAAACCTAGCCAAATATAAACATTTACCAGTCCATCTAATACCCTTATCTACATATGATCACAAGTCTCAGCTATCAAATCATGAGAATTATAACTCACTGGTGGACATTAAGAAGGATGAAAAAGATAAATCATCAAAAAGATTGATCCTAATAGGTGATATACATGGCTCCTATACCCCATTGATCTCCCTCTTGAATAAACTAAACTATACATCTTCTCAAGATTCAGTTCTAATGCTTGGTGATTTCTTATCAAAAGGTCCTGATTCTTTAAAAGTTTTAGAATTTGCAATCAATGAAAATTGGTTTGGTATATTGGGTAATCATGAATTATCAATATTGTCAAAATATAACAATTTCCAAGAAATTAAAATAGATAATGATTCATTTCTTGCTACACCTAAAAATGGGAAATTTGATAAAGAATTATACATTGCAAGAAAATTAACTCCATCACAAGTTGATTATATTTCATCAATGCCATTAATAATGGGGCTAGGTCCTGTTCCTTTCCAAAATTCTAAAGATGAATTTCTCAACCCATTGAATGGAGTAGCTTCTCATTTAGGTTTATTCCCTGAAGTTTCCCTTGAAAGCCAAAATTTGACAGACCTGTTGAATATTGATAAAGATTGGTATAGAGATTATAATTCTTTTGAGAAAACTATAAGTAAAAAAGATAGAAACGTGGTTTATTATGGTCATCATGCGTCTCTTGGTTTGAATTTGAAAAAATATTCAAAAGGTTTGGATTCAGGTTGTGTTTATGGTGGTGAATTGAGTGCTATGGTTATTTGGGTTGAAGAAATTTCCAAAAAACAAGTTGTATATAAACAAGAGTTGATTAGTGTAAAGTGTTAGACCATTGTTAATTGCTACAGAAATTATATTGCATATAAATAAATTTCATAGACATCATAAATATATCCCCTCATTTACCCTTGTACCCTTGTTGTTTCCTTTTGAATAACCAACTCTTTAGATAATAATAATCTTAAATTATCATTTATTGGACTTTTAGCATCAGAGGGTTCAGATGATCTATCAATAATTTCAACCATTTTTCTAAACTTCAAAAACAACAATTCCGATCTTGTCAATAAATCATTCAATTTATAAGTCATTGATAAATCATTGATGTATTTTAAGACTTCATCAAATTGTCTCAAATGATTGATTATAATTTTTTCATTCTTCTGTAAAATAGCTAACGCAAAGAATAAATGAAATTGTGAACTATAGTAATCTGTCCATAAAATCTCCCATAATCTTAAAACATCATCCCAAATAAATTCTCTTTTGAACCAAACCAACAACATTCTGAAAAAAAAGAACAAATTATTAGAGTCACATTTTTCTAAATGGATATATAATTCTGGCAACATAAATTGGACCAATTCATTCAATGTATTCATTTGATCTCTCATTCCAGATTGATCACTTAGGAAATTTCTCTCCATACGATCCATAAATCTAACAAAACAATGGAAACTCAACGAATCATCTTGTAATGTAACATAAATTGGTGATAATAAATCAGTCATACCTTGAACATAACCCAATTTATCATTATATTGGTTAAAAGTTAACAAAATTTCACGAAGTTTAAACAAATGTGGATTTCTAACATTAGAAACATCAAAATCATCATCATCACCTTCATCTTCTCCTTCTTCGGTTCCATGATTCTTATAAATCTCCAAATTTCTATCAGTTCTTTGTATATCTTTCTCGATTCTAAATTTTTGATCCTTATAATATTCATCTTGTTGAATCTCTTTATCATCTTGCCATTTAGATTTCAAAGTTTCATAATCTCTTCTTAAAACTTTATTCAATTCATATCTTTCCGCACTTGAACTATCCCATGGATAAACTCCCAACAAAAATAACCATGCTTCAGATCTGACAACTTGATTCAACCCACCATGGAAAATTCTATTCTTAACTTCATTAACAGTAATCAATAATCTTCCCGTATGATCGAAAAATGAATCCCATTCTTGTTTACTAACTTCTCTATGACGTTCATGTGCTTGTAGAATCTCTTCTGGCAATAATTTATCAAAATTTAATCCCAGTTCTTTAGATAATAAATCTCTTGAATTTTCATCCAATATTATTTGCTTTCTAGTCTTTTCAGCCTCTTCTTGAACCCCCATTGCCCATTTAGCTAAATAAACTCTTGCAGTATCAAACTCATCATTAACTCTTTGCACTTCAGGATTCTTTAACAAATTCTTAATAGGTAATGGACTTTCATCAAGAACATTATCAACAGATTTCTTGGTGAATTTTGTTACACGAGCTAAAGTTTCCAATACAGACCATCTTGCATCATTCAACATCTTCTTAAAATCAAAAGGATTCTTTTTCGCATTATTGTCATCAGCAATATTAGTTGGACTGAAATTATTCAAATCCATTAAAGTTGGATTAATCAACAATATACTATTTTCTAAACTTGACTTCTCCACAACTGCAACGTTTTTCAAAAAATCCAACATTTGTAAACCACCCCAAAATAATCCATTATCATCACCAAATGGATCGAAGTTTTTATTTTTCAAACTTTGTTCACGTTGTGTACTTGGACATTCATCATCATGGAAAAATACAACAGGTAATTTATCACTTGAACTTCTTGTATTGATAATGATTGAGCCATACCACCAACCAAGAGATGGTGGACGGATCTGTATACTGAAAAGGTTTCCTAAACTTATACTAAATGAAAAAGATCCAAACGTGGAAGGTCTCTTGATAAAATTATGATGATTTTTGAAATTGGATGGCAAATTGACATTTATTGAATCCAAATCAACTTTTTGGAAAACTTCTAAATCTGATTGAGTTAGGTAATGTTCAGGTGTCCAGCCAAATAATAGTTCTCTATCTGTTGAAATTGAAGATTCCTTTATGAAATATAGGAAACCTGGTATGTTTTCCTTGGAGTTCTTATTTGGATGTACGTAGACTTTTGATTTGGAATAGATTAGATCAACCTTCCCTGGAGGAAAACTCTTTGCACTCATGATGTTGGTACTTTCTCAAATTGGTTTAGCTCTCTTGCCAGGTTTGGATTGGATAGAAGCTTAAACACTTGTTAATTGAGCTTGATCATGTAACAAGGAGAGTTAAATATAATTATAGGCGCAATCTTTTTTTTTCTGCCCAAAACCAGTACAATTTGACAGACAATACAAATATTTTTTTCTAAACTAATATACAAATAAAAAAAGGACAAACACACTAAAAATACAATAAAAAGAAGAAATGGTAAGAATGGGAAAAGAAAAAAATGAAACAACAATCAGCAATTTAACACAAAAAAATAATATAACGTGGCTCAAGGAATCACTTGTTCAAACCGATAAGTTCTTTATCAATATTGTCATCAGAAATCTTGTCATCCTTCTTGACAGGATCTGGAATGATTTGATTCAAGGCTTCTTGATGTGGTAATAATTGACCAGCTTGTTCAGGTTCTTCGGATTGTGGATGTGATTGAGTCTGAGGAGTTTGGGATTGACTTTCACCATATGTAGGAGTCTGTTGGTAAGGAGCTTGTTGGTATTGCTGAGCTTGTGCTTGGGCCTGTTGAGCATATGCAACCGCTTGTGGTGATTGTCCTTGCTGTTGGTTAGATTGTTGGCTAGGTTGAGCTTGGCTTTGAGATGGAGATGAATTATACTGTAATTGTTGAGAATATTGAGCCAAGTTTTGTAATTGGTTATATTGAGCCAAATTTTGAACATCAACCAAGTTCATAGCTGCTTGTTGAATAGCTCTTTGTTGTTCTTGTTGTTGTTGATAATGGTGATTATCACCGACAAATTGATTATGATTATGATCTTCATCTCTAATTGAATGTTTTTTCCATGCATAAGGTGGATGAGTCTTGTGATTATACATGATTTGAATGATCCCATCTGGTAAACTATAGTTTAATGAAACTTTGGATTCACAATCTTCAACTTTTAATTTATTTTGAATTTGTCTTTCATTATTTGATCTTGATTTTCTTTGTTTACCTTGATCTTGACTGCAAATAAACATAAAAGTGATTTTTTTAGTTTTACGACCACCTTTATGATAATCACGAACTGGGAATCTATAACCGGTGGCATCCATTAAAGGATGAATATAAAATTCAATCAATTGTTTACCAATGTATTGATAAGTACCTGGGTCAATTTCAGAGTTAACTTGGTATCTTTTGAAAACTTCCGGATCTGTGGAACCTCTATAACGATGTTGCAAAATATCTTGTTGAGTATTCAGCTTGATTTTGTTGATGAAAGCAATATAATCAGTATACATGTTTGGTAAAGCAGCACTAATGTAAACAATGTTAGTATGTTGTATTTAAGGGGGAGAAACATGTGTATACTCACGTATCAATAGGGGTCTTGACAACTTTTCTCTTTGTTCTGCAGCTAATACAAGTAGCATATTTGGCTAGTTGTTCTGGGGATTCATGGTTTCTCTTGACACGACAACGTGAACATTTTTTGATCTCAATAGGTGAGCCTTCATGGCCCGAAGTTGTTGTTGTTGACATGGTGGCGTGGCTTCCGTCGAGGGCAAAATAGCTTTGGATAGGGACTTGTTAGTGAGCGCGTAGTCCTAGGAGCAGATGAACTTGTGGCTTGTTGGATGGTCCTTGTAGTGTGAATCTGCCAATAGCCTTATGGGTTTGTTGACCTTTGTAATGTAAACAAAATCAGTCAATTTTTGCTGTGTCAAGAATGGATTAAAATTCTGGATTTTGGCAGAGACTGACAATTTTCAAAGGTTTTTTTGGTTTTTTTTTAAATTTTGTGTGTGGTGTTGGGATGTTGGGATTCTGGTGATTTTAAACGTGAAGGAAATAAGATTTAATTGCGTAGAGATGGTGTAATTTGATTATAATTGGTTAAAGAAGCTAGAATGAATTCGTCAGAAGAATCAGAACTCAGCTCAGTGGAGAGTGATGCTGAAATTAACGAGGGAAAAAGCGTTGCTCAAGGTGAGTTATCTGTTGTTTGATTGTGCATAGCATAAACTAACAAAGGTATGATATAGTGAAAACAGCTGGAAATGAAGAAGGATTTGATGATTCAATTGATGATTCTGTGGATGAAGATGACGAAGAAGATGAGGATAATGATAACGAGGACCAAGGTGAAGAGGAAGATGATGACGATGAGGTTGATGTCGAGGAAGATGACGGCGTTGGTGCAGATGAAGATGAATTGGATGAAGATGACGAAGAGGATGAATTCGCTAGTGATGCACAAGAAGATGATGATGACCAAGCGCTATCAGATGATGACGATGATGCCAACTTTAAGATAAATGATGTCGACGACGACGACGTTGATGAACCTGAAGATGAATTACAAACACCTGTCCCACAAAAGAAACGTTCCTTAAGTCTGAAAATTAAACTCCCAACCTCGAAAAGAGAGCGTAATCCAATAAAGGATGACTTAGATGATGATTTTGATGATGAAATTGAAGTGAAGAAACCAAAGAAGGCTAGAAAGATAACTCAAACAAAACCAGATCCACCGGTTTCAAAGAGAGGTGTAGGAAGGCCAAAGAGAGTTGCCACAAATGATGTCAACTATGATGATGAAGATGATATAGTATCTGATAGTGAAAATGTTATTCCAACTCCTGCCCTTGATGATGAATTGTTATTGACAGATGAAGAAACTGAGTATACGCCAGATGTCACGAAAATGACTGAAAGACAAAGGGCAAAACTAGAGAATGAAGAAACAGGCGTAACACAACTACAAGACCAACAATTGTTGTCACTAAGTAATGATGTTCACAAGAGAAGAGTATTAACAGATGAGGAAAATCAATTGAGAAAAGCAGAAATTGCTAGAAAGCGTAAGAATCTAACGGAAAGAAAGTTGGAAGAAGAGAAACAAGAAACCATTAACAAATTATTGAAAAGAAGAGCTGGTAAAGTGAGTGCAGCTACCTTAAAAGAGGATGAAGAGGTCAACTTGAAAGAGAAACCTAGACGGCCACAAATTCAACACGAGGCTCTATTTACGTGGGTCTCTAAAAAGGACACTCTAGCCTTACGGGTTCCAGAACCTTTGATGGATTAATGAAATATCAAATTTGTTAATTGAATGATTAATGTTTGTCAGTTTGATTCTGTAGTAGAAAATTGAAATCATCGCCGGCTAAAAAAATGAAAATGTTCCTGAAAACTACCTTTTTTTGACACGGAAAATCACTGTACAAATATTAATTAAAGCGCCGAAGCTTAGTTTTTGAGACATGCTTAATTTGTTATTGAAGGTATCGTACTCAAAACACATTCATTGTAAAGCAAATAAGCAGTAGATTCTAATTCTTTAACCCATTCTACTCCCAAATTTCATAATCCCTTTCCAATCATCGAATTCTATTGTCCGCATTAATTCCTTTTGGCAGGTCCCCGTTTTCGCGAGTGTTGCCCAAACCGCGAAAAATTGGTTTTTTTTCGAGATAGGAATCTTTCATAATACCTGACAATTTCCGTTTTGTTAAAACTAAAAAACATAAGGAAAGGGAATATTGCAAGAATCTACATCACAGTACACCTTCAACGGCGCCTCATTAGAGCCATATCTCAATCCATTTCGTTTATTTACAAGAATATATTGACCGCTGCTGCTTCTTATTTTAGCAAGTTAGATTTGAACTGAATTCATCACAATTGGTTAAAGTTAGTTCCTGGGTCCTATTGTTGTTTACTTCATACACCAGGTTATGCATAGGTCGTTTTAATCGAAAAGAATACCCTTTATCATAGTCAATTTCACAGTTTCCTCACCCTATCTCCCACATTTCATAGTGTTTTGTTCTTTTTTAACTGAATTTGTCACGGATCTTATACATGTCAACCAAAAAAGCACAGAAAATCAATCCCTTAGCGAAACCTAATGGTTCCCAAACATCAACCCCAAACAATAATGGAGGAAACATTGATGATAACAACAATCACCTCCCAAATCAACAGCAAATGAATCCTCAACAACAACATCACCCACAAATCAATCCTTCAGCTGCTATGGGTAATGTTAATGGTGGAATGCCTCCAGGTGGAATGATGGGGAACAACAATATGCCAATGAATGCCATGAACTTTGGAATGAACAACCCAAACTTCAGAGCCATGCCAAATGCAAATATACATCCTCAGCAGATGGCAGCATTACAAGCTCAAGCTCATTACGCAAATATGCAAGACCCCAATAGAAATAATCCACAATATCAACAATACCTTCAACAACTTCAACAACAAAATCAAATGTATATGCAAATGCAGAACCAGCAGCTTCAACAACAACAACAGCAACATCCTCATCAGAACCCACAAGCTTCAGGGATAAATGCTGCTATCGCTGCTCCCCAGAATCAGATGCCTCAACAGTTCCAAGGCCAAATACCGCAACAACAACAGGCTATTCCACAACAACAACAACAACAATTTCCTGGACAGCAGCCGAACCAACAGCAACAACAGCAACAACATCCACAGCAACAGCAACAGCTTCAGGGTGCTCATCCCTTTCAACAACCTCAGTCTCAGCACCCAACACCTTTACAACAACATCAAGTTCAACCTGGTCGCCAACCTCAACAACCAACTCCACAGCAACAACCTACTCCACAACAAGCTGCTACACCTCAGCAACTACCACAACAAGCGCAAATGGGTGCTCAACAAGGTCCAAAACTAGATAATAAAGGATCAAGAATGCCTAGTGTGGCACAGGGCCAAATGCCTCAACAAAGACCAGTCACTGCAGGTGCTTCAATGATAAATAGAGGCCCACAGGGAGTAATTAACACTGGTAATATTCCTCAACAAGGTCAAGCTCCACAACAACAATCGCAACAACAACCTCAACCACAACAAGCACCTGGACCACAACAACAACAGAATCCGCAAGCACCAGGTTCAGCAGGCTCGACGGGATCACAAGGTCCATTGAATCAAGCTACATTAAATATCATGAATTTTAGAAAACAAATGTCGAATTTGGCAACTTTGAAATTTTTAGATTTTTGTGAACTGATAGGTGTAAGGTCTGATAGTACTAAAAATATACTGTATTGGAGGAAAATTATAACAGATTATTTTAGTGAGATTGGTGTTCTTAGGTATTCTGTTAAAAGTGGTGTTGATTCAAGACAATTTGAATTTAGTGTCCCAATTATACCGAGATTCTTTTTTTCCATTATTCAATCTGGTGTTGTGAGAATGGAAATACAACCTGGATTATTGAGAACACAAGTGTTGGCTAATGGTACCACATATTTGGAAAGTTCAAGATGCTGTTTCACTCATTATTATTCAGATGGTTCTTATGTGAATATTCATGGTAATATTAGAGGTATACTGAATCAAAACTTGAAATTGGATTGGTTAGACTTCCAAACCCATGTGTTTATACCTGGTGTCGAGTGGCCATCTTTGGAAAAAATATTATCAGATGAAGCTAAAGTTAAGGATTTATTTGCTAATCAAAATGATAATTCATCTGCAAAGTCTGCGGAAAGTAAAAGATTACAACTTTTAACAAACTTTAGATCAAATTATAAAGTTTTCCATAGTATGTCCAACTTTGGTTTGCAAGAAAGTGTCATGAGAGTTATGCAAGTCTCTGATGTTATGGCACACTTGAAAAGTTTGATGCTGTTTTCAATTACTTCAGATACAACAGGCCCTTTGAACTCCCTTGATGCATTTGTGAGTCAATCATTATTGGCTAATAAAGGCAATAAAAGTGAACAAGATTTAAAAAATCCAAATTCAAGACCTGCTTCAAGTAAACCAGGTGGTGCTGATGATAAAAAATCACCGTTAAATATGGCAAACTCACCAGTACCAAGAGGTGCTGGTAAAGTTCCACCGTTAGACATGTCACAATCAACATTAACCAAAAGAAGAAGAAAAAGTAATCTGGATAATGGTCTTTCACCAAAATCTACAGCTGATAGCCCCAAATCGGGCGCCAAAGCTAATAAAAAAACCAAACGTTAGAGAAATTTGATTTGTTTCAACACTGCATAATTAGAGCCATTAATTCCAGTTTACTTCTACTTATTTCTTTTGGGTATTTAAAACTGTTATTATATAATTTTTTTCCTGTTTTAGTCTCAAAAACTTCAATTCTTCATGTTAATTAGTTTTATTAACTATTGACGTAGTCGTATTACGTTCGCGAATCAAAGTGGTTATTGGCGATGGCCTTTTTTTGCTCCCCAGATAACAATTTGCCGAAGAAATGAATCATGAGAATATCAACACAACATTTTAATAGAAAAGACTAGTATTCATCATGTCAGACATATATGCTCATCCAGAAGATATAACATTCCCAGAAGAAATACCAGAGTCCAAAAAGGTCATCACGATACCTCCAGCGTTGAAATACATCACATCATTACTTTATGGATCAGGAACAACATTATCACTAGTATACATCTTATTAATCTTCATCGTTCAACCATTGTTAAAGGTTCAATACGAGAGAAGGAATGAATTAGCTGCATTTGTGCTAAAGCTAGCAAGAGATCTATTAGTCACCCTGAATAAGGACACAAAATTACCACCAGTCGCAATCAAGAGAGGTGAGAAATATTACTCAGATGCACAAGTTCAAACTGATGAAGTTAACACAAAACCCTCCTCAGTCTATTTTGAAGATGAGAAACCAGAAAATGAAAATCTCTTAAATGAACGTTTGAAGAGTTTGAAGCTGTGCTTACAGGACTATAATAGATACCATGCACAAATTGATGAATTGAATCCACTGACTTTCCAAATCAAGAAATTTCAAGGAAGAATAGATGCTTATAGCCAGGCCAACTTGCTAAGAATAAGAGGCCAAGCATCCAATGATACAATCACAAACCAACTAAAACAGGAAATCAGAAGTATAAAAGGTTTATTTTTGACTGGTCAAGTATAGTAATGTTCACAATGTACAGGAAGTTTTCTGAAATACAAATAATGCTATCATGAAATTCAATATGTACAAAATAATTAATAATAAATGCAGAATTGTAATGATTTTTTTCTTCATCCCTGAAGTTATCCTTAAATAAACATAAAACTTTTCTCTTCCTCTCTATAACTGGTATCATAACACATTAAAACCGAACACTAAGCACAAGAGCCTGTATAAATTGAAGGCCGACATGCCATTCCCATATTTACATGACAACAGGCTCATGTATATGTGTTCTCTGTAGCGATACTTTATTAGAATATCACATCATCGAAATGAGCACCTCTTCTAAAAGACCTTTTAGGCTTTGACCCATCTTTTGAACCTTTCTTTGAATTGGACTTTGATCTCTTGTTCTTACGATCAAACTTAGCTCTCACTCCCGAGCCATCTCCACTATTCTTTATAATGACTTTTGTATCTGTGCCATACTTCTCGGTGTACAAGTTCTTTATCTTATCACCTCTCTTTTTCCATCTCTCATATATGTCTTCTTCTTCCTCTAGTGAAGGAGTCCATTTTGATTTAAGAATTCTTCTTATAGCTTCTGGTGAAATTTTAAAATGGTCCGAAAGATCTTTTGAAGTCATATCTGGTAATTCTCTTTTCAACAATCTTACACTTTCCATTTCATCTCTTGAAAGTTTCTTAACTGGGTTCCAAGCTTTACCTTTAAACTTCTCACCTAATGCATATTTTTGTCTTTTCCATTCAGGCATCATTTGATCTTTACGCCAATTCTCAGGTATTTTAGATCTACCTTGATTCATAAATTGTAATGGTGATAATCTTCTTTCCTGTGTTTCAGCAGGTAACTTTGGGGCTTCATTGGTTTCAATTTTTATTATTTGGTCAAGAGTTTTAGCTTGTTTCTTTTCCTTCTGTATTTTCACTTTACTATCCTCCAGTGAATCAACGTCATCACTCTTTGCACTCGAACTTTTAGTTCGATTTAACAATATACTTGAATGACTGAAATATCTCCTGCTCAGTGGGCCACATCCAGCCAAATGAGTAATCCCATTGGCACCACCTAATATTCTTCGTATCAGTAGCATCAACAAACACCTTTTTCTTTCAGTAGACAGGGTTCAGATCCAAGTTCTCTTTAAAGCATCTCTAACATCTAAAAGTGAAATATTTTTGATAGAAAAATTACCATTTACGACTGCACACGTGACTTGATGGTCCCGGATCTCGAATTGTTTGTTTTGATTTTGAAAAGGTTGTACGAAAAAAATTGAGAGGCCAAAAGTTGATATATCAATAGACAGCACAATTTGAGATAAAGTTATCTTATTTTCATTGCAAGCCTGTTGGATAATTCCCAATATTTAAATAATCTTGGTTTAAGCTGCTCTCCAGAGATTGTCAATTATTTTCATTATTGAAATATTGCAAGGATGAACTTTCTAAAGAAGTTTTTAGGGTCTTCACCTAAGGATGATCTTTCAATGATCCCTTCTGGTCAGCTATTTTTAAAAAGAAGTTTGGGATCACCTAAATCAGCAAGTGAATGCTTGTATACGGATGCTGCTGCTTCTGTTCGTGAAACATCTGCTCCACACAATTATCAACTTGTTATTCAACGAGCTTTTGCTGAAGGTGAAGAACAATTAAAAGGTGATGACGATGAGGAAGAAGATGATTTTGCAGAGTTTCAAGATGAAAGAGTCTTTTTGATTGATAAGTCATTAAAAATTCATCATTTTAATAGAAGTGGATCCTTGATTGTTTCATGGAGCAACAGAGATGGTGATGATGGTGAAAGGTTTGAATTCGTTGTTGATGAATCAATTAAATCAAGTGAAGTGGAACATTTCATGAAAACTGTTTATTGTTGCGAATTTGAAAGAAAATACTCAAAGTCGTCTGCAGGTGTTACTACTGAACAATTAGATGAATTTGTCTTCGATCCTGAATCAGAAAGTATTGAAGCAACACTTTCAAAATCCATTGGAAACACACCAACCAAAAATCTTTTGAGCGTTACAAGTGAAGATGAAGGTGAAGACTCAATCTATGAAGATGCAGAAGAAGTCACAGGTGCTGCAGCTACATCACCAATACCATCTCGTATTTCTCAACCAGCCACACCTAAAAAAGATGATCTTGCGAAGAAAGAAGTCGAACAAGTCAAAGAACCAACTGGTGAAGAAATTGTTCAGGTTGCAGCTGAATTAAGACTTTACGATCCAACTACTGAAAGCTTTTCATTACAAGATACAGATGGTACTGTTACAGTATTAGATCTCGGTAAATGGGAATATTGGTTGTCCATTAAAAGTAAATCTGGTATTAGTCTAGGAACTCTAATCAGTCCGAAACTAAATCCTGTTTTCAATTATGAAGTTGTTTCATTTATTTTCAACTACGAAACAGGAGACGATGAAGTGTTTTCATGGCTATTAAGATTTGAAGCACCACAAGAGTTGTTAGAGTTCCAAACAGGTTATATGAGAGCTGCTTGGGAAGCTGCCAATAAATCAAAATGGCAAAAAGCTGAAGCTTCTGAAAAACAATATGTTCTTGATGCTTTCAACACAAATGAAGAAGACCAAGATATGGCTGATTATCCTGAAGAAGAGGAAGAAGAGGAAGAGGAAGAGCAAGAAAAATCATCAAGAGCTGTGAATTTACGTACCGGTCTTCGTAAAGAAGGATTCTCAGATTCGGAAGACGAAGAAGAAGATGAAGTCAAAAAGAACTACTTCAAAGGGTCTCAAAATAAGAATTTAACAATTGCTTTCAAAAATGATCGTTCATATGTTACTAGAGGTAATCGTATTGGTGTTTTCAAAACAACTGATGATGATGATCTAGAATTCGCAACAGCTATTGAAAATTTGTCAATTGGTGATAAGAAACAGTTCAGTCCTACGAAGATGATGTTACATACTGAAGATCGTTCTTTGGTTATGCAAGGTGATAAAAAAGATACCCTTTACAGAATGGATTTGGAATATGGTAAAATTGTTGATGAATGGAAAGTTAAAGAAGATTTACCAGTTGTTGACTTTGGTCCATCCAAGAAATTCAATCAAATGACTGGAGAACAAACATTCTTGGGTATTTCTGATAAAGGTTTGTTTAAAGTTGATCCAAGAGTCAACGGTGATAAATTGGTTGAAAGTGAATACAAAACATACGCCACCAAAAACGGATTCAGCTCATTTGGTACCACAGAAGATGGTTTCATTGCTGTTGCTTCTGATAAAGGTGATTTAAGATTGTATGACAGATTAGGTATCAGAGCTAAATCATTGATTCCTGCTATTGGTGATTCGATCAAATTTGTTGAGACTTCTGCAGATGGTAAATGGTTATTAGCTACATGTCAAACATATTTAATTTTGATTGATTTAACTATCAAATCTGGTGCAAATGCTGGCTCCTTGGGATTCAAGAAATCATTTGGTAAGGATAATGTTCCAAAAGCTAGAACTTTGAAGATCTCCCCAGAACATGTTGCATCTATAAAACAATTGACTGGTACACCTTTGAATTTTTCAAAAGCACATTTCAACACTGGTATCAATGCCAAAGAACAAACGATTGTTTCCTCGTCGGGCCCATATGCTATTACTTGGTCATTAAGAAAAATTTTGCGTGGTGATACAGAACCATATATGATCAAAAGATACTCTTCAAATGTTGTTGCTGATAACTTCAAGTTTGGTACTGATAAGAACGTTATTGTGGCATTGGATGATGATGTTGGTATTGTCAACAAGAAAGCTTTCCGTAAAGCTGACAGACAAACTTTAGCATACGTTCCACGTGAAGGTTTTTTCTAAGATCAACTTGATGGTTTTGCCTTTTCCCTCCCTTTTATTGTTTTCTATTTTGCATCCAAGTTGATTTCTTTTTCTTTTTCTAATTCCCAGTTCCTAATTCGTGATCATGTTGGCCAATTTTGTGTGTTTGTTTTATATTTGATGTTTGGTATATAGCTATTTTTTAATGAACAGTTTGACAATTATTTAATGCTTTCTTGGAAATCCAAATGTAGCTCTCCATTCATCATAGAAAAGTAGTCTGTAAGCTTTAAACTTTTGTGCAGAAGTTGGTTGAAACAAATGGTCTGCTGCATGTTGCTCATGAAGTGGGCGGGTTGGAGGTTGTATACCATTGACTTTAAAGTATATATTTCTTACAAATCGATGGAATGCTGGACTATTCATCAGCTATGGTTGTACAAGTTAGTTCAATGATCTAAAATCACTTGCGATTGGAAACGTACTTTCAAGTAAAGAAACTCTTCAAGGTTTCTTGGAGACTTCATTGTGTTGAATTACTCTCTGATCAAAACAAATGCAAATACTAGAAGAGGTATATGAACATTAAAATGATGTCAAGAAGTGTATATGGTTCGTGGTTTAAATTTTGTATGATGATTAGATAATCATACGGGTAATACCTTGATTTTCCGCGAATTTTGAAATATATCTGATGAAGAACACGTACAACTTGAATTACATTAAGCACTTTGCAGTTGAAGACCTATAAACAAATCCATAAAGTAACTTAAAATGATAACGGATGATCAATTAAACCAAATGGCCATTTACTTCGGTATTGTTACATTCACTTTGATTGTGGTGTATCATACAATTTCTTCAAGTACAAAAACTGTTAAATCCCAATAGAGTCAAGAAAGTCAGTGGTTCACAACAATTCATCTCAAATTATATGGCAGTTGATCTGCTTACAGCTTAATTCAATTTTATCATTCGTTGTGTCTCTAGGTGCTTGTGTTTTTAATAGCTGGTGGTGGTTAAAGCGACGTGTGCTTTCAATGTTCCCAGATGTACTACAAATGAATAATTTAATGAAACTTATTTAATGATTCAACAAACTATGTAACTCTATATTTTCATACAAACAAACACATCAAAATCCAAAACTTCTTTTGTCAACTCAATCGTCAAACAAACCTTCCTCTCCCAAAATTTCTTTGGAGAACCCTATAATGTTTTCCAATTCTTCTGTGATTGTGGTGAATGCCCTCGCAAAAGCCATACCGTGAACTTCAGTCCAGTGTGATTTACCGTAATCTGCTTGATTCACTAATGATGCTAATCTTTTCTCCAATTGAGTAGCAATGGTCTCATTTGCGGCTGATTTCTCTTCTCTCTGAGCTTCTAATCTCCCAATGAAATCATATAATCTCTTTCTAATTGTTATAGCAGATGGTAAATATTTGGGAATGTTTGACCTTGTTTTGAACCCATTTGATAAAATATAAAACAGATAAATCACTGTTGCAACTGAGTCACGACGAATTGATAATAAAGCCTGTGTGGTATCTTCATCTTTATCTTGTTCCCAAACATGGAAATAAACACCTGAAATTCTAGCTTCAATGGTTTTCTCTAAGATCAGCTCACAAGAGTTTAATAAATCTTCAAATACTTTATATTTGAATGAGTGAGAATAATCATGCTCCCGTTTTGCCTTTGTCAATAATTCTCTAACAGCAAATAAACTTTGAGACATTCTAACTTCTCTAATATTAGCCAATTCTAAAGTCAAATCAGTTGGGTCATCTTTCTCATCTCTATAAAGATATCTTTCAGTGACAGTTTGGTAGCATTGACCAATATGTGACAGTAGTGAAGAACAAGATTTGTAAAATTCATTTCTTGCAATGAACGGCCAAATCAACCAATTTGTGAAGATTGAAGTAACAACACTGATTAAAATAGCCACTGATGTGGTCCAAGTGAAATCAAAAATAGCATCAGTAGAGTCACCATCTGCTTGAACATAACAATTAATGGAAATGATTGTGAAGGACATCAATGAAATTAAACTAGATCTTGGGTGAGGCTTAACTAAAAATCCAAATGCAAACGGAACACAAATAATAGTAGCAAATGCACCAATGACAATTGGGTTTCTGAAATGTCTAGCTTGGTTGGCAGCCCATCCCCAAAAACAACCGATAAACCAACATATTATTCTCGTTGATAAATTTTCCCAATTACCTGAATTTCTAGGACTTAGGAAATAATAAACTAATAATGGGGTCCAAAAACAATTATATTGGTAATACCAATGATTAGATTCTTTTAGCCATGCAGGTAGCGATAAAAACACCAATACGAATGCAATTTTAAAGGCATACTTGGTTTCTGAATCATTCAGTCTTCTTGAGAGTCTCCATAATTTGAAACGTAACGGGTTATCAGTGGAGTGATAACTGAAATCATTGTGATCAATAGCTCTGATTGTTTTGTTCTTTTTGATATCTTCTTCTCCCTTTTCAGCTAATGGATGTGATGACTCTTCCTTCTCCTGTTGTTCCTCGTGATGATGACTTTTAATTCTTGAAGTGTTCAAATTGTAGATTCTTTCAAAGGCATCATCAACATCTAATTTTGTTTCAAAGTAGTAAAAAATAGAATCAGCACCTTGATCTCTTAAACACTGTTTTGGTAATCTTCTGAGGGATCTTCTCCAAGGATAATTGTACCAAAAAAACTTCCATCTTGATACATGTTCACAAGATTTTTCCACAACTTCTGAAAGACTGATCATCATTGTTGCAGACTGTCTTGAATATCTCAAAAATAAAAACATATCAATAACAGTTTCTTCATTCAAAAGGTCTCTACAAAAACTTTCAGATTTTGTAAACTTTTTATAGGCAGCATCAATTTGCCAAACCCTTTTCTTTAATAACAATTGTGAGTTTTTCAGCGATTCAATAATTTGTTGTTTTGATTGGTGATCATTAGTTGATAATTTACCAAATTTCTTCAATGAGGTATCAATATGTGTCAAATTGTCAATCATTTGGGTGAGCAATTTAAACAATGGTTCATTGAAAGCTTCATTAATGATAGAAGTATAAAGCAGTTTATTATTATTACCAAAATGAGGATGCTGCATAAATGCTAATGGGACATTTGGCTTTGGTAAAGGTGTAGCCATCCCTGATCCAATAGCGGTGGCTAACCCTGAAACATCAGTAGAGTGTTCATTACTTTGTGAAGTCTCTAGTGTAGTTGTTGGTTTGAAATACATATTTGTAGGTGATGGAATTGCACGTAATGGACTGATTGCAAAATTCAAGTGGTTTCTGATTTTCTTTAAATCTTCATCAAGAAATATTGATACTTTAACCTCACTCAAGTATTCTCTGAAGTTTTCTGAAAGCATTAATGTTTTGTATGTTAAATTTTTCTGTAATTGAGTCAACTTGAATATTTTATCGGAATCATCATCTTCTTGAGCCTCTGTATATGCAACAATTAAATCCTTGATGCTGGTGACTGAATCAAGTATAGAATTCAATATTTTTTCATGACCAACATCTGGGAAAAACACTAGGGAGACGAATAATGAAACTAATAAACCGAAAAGATAAGGTATCCCTATGTTCCAACAATCTTTCCAATTGATTACTGTGGACTTCAAATCCAAATTTGTTGACAAAAAGATCAAAACAAAACCTGATGATAAAAACAAATAGTAAAACCTAATGAAATAAGCTTTAAACCAACCCATAAAGAAGATCCCAATGAACAATGAGCCAGCTAATATCCCACCTTGATGATTTCTAGTTGGTTGAGTCGCTGTGGATATGTATAATGCTAATGAAGACCATCCTAACCCTATAGCTAATCCTACTATAGACAGTATTGTAATTTCTAACTGAGCACCGATTGAATGGACAGGATGGTTAATTAAAGTTGAGATGGGGAGAAATACCCTATATCTTCCAAACCAGTTTCCTGGTTTTTCCACAAGACAGAGTATTATGGAGATGAAATATGCAATGAAAAATTTTGTCAAGATGATTTTGGAATTGTTGAAATCTTTCCAAAAGTTTTGGAAATGTGAATGAAAACTTTGTTTACATCTGTTGAAAAAGGTTGATGTTTTCGGTTTCTCATGATAATGATCATTTAATGAAGCTGTATGTTTTGGATTAACATAGATTGGATCAAAGAACCCATTTCGAAGCTCTTCTAAATCGAATCTTTTCAAGTCTTTGTAAGTTGCATCTGTATTTGATAGTTGATACAACTTCAATTGTGACATAGAAGTTCGAGGGTTTGGGCGTAGGTTAGAGTCAGACCCAAGCTTGAAAGTTGATTTTAGCAAGTTTGAATCATCTCTTTTGAAGTTTGAGGCACTAGGACCACTTTCTAGGATTCTTCTGATTGAATTCATAGATTGGTCAAGCTTGGGTATATTTCCTTGGTGGAATGATGATGATGATAATCCAGTTGATGAGTCCACATGGCTTGCGCCTTTCATATTGACATGCTCATTAGGCAGCATTCTTGATAAATTAGTGTAGTCTTTAGACCTTGGTGATATTAAAGTATACCAGATTGATAGTAATGAGCGGTTGATAGAAGTGTTTTATATTCTGATGTTGAAGGTGTGAATCTGTCAAATCGAATAGGCACCTAATTTTTTTTTATCGTGATACGTCAAAAGGTGAGGCTAGAGCCAATCATGAGACCACGCGGTGAGCTTTTATCAGAGCCAGGCATTTCCCAGCTAGGCAGAAGCTAGATGGGCTGGGCAGGGCGATTGGTGACAGCTTTACTGGGACCAGTATAACAGACTTGTAGAGTGCTTTGGCTACTTCAAACCTTTGACAGGAGCACAGTGACGGACTTAGAAGCAAGAGAAGGTGAACACAAGCGATGGTGACGGACCATGATTCTATAAACTTGGATATGGAAATAATTACAGATACTTTATTTCATAACTATTAACGATATCTATTCCATAACGATTAAATTCGTAGTACCATCTTCAGCCTCTCTGCCAATGCATTTGTCCTGGTTGTGCCTGGACCCAAATGGCCTGGATCAATCTCAGCGCTTAATTATCAACATTCAAAGCATTTGACCTCAAACAACTACAGAATTATCTTCAGAACACAATCATCAAAATGGACCTCTTGGACTCCTCATTGAAAGCCGCTGTGTCATTCAATTCATTATCAAGCCCAAATAAACCAGCATTTGAGATTTATCAAGATGAAGCGTTACACGATAAGATCTTGGATCAACTTCATTCAAAACACATAGTCACAGTTAAGATGGCAAGCACGACAAGGAATTATGATCTGTATGATGAGCCCAAATTAAGCTTAAGATTCATAAGTGATTCAATGAAACTTCATAGCCAATTATCTAAAGTACCGCCTGGCACTCTTGAAATTGTCAAAATTTTCAACACTTATAAACCTCAACCTGAAGAATGTTATATGGAGGTTCTGAAAGTTGCCAAAGTCACTGGGGATTTGTGCATCAGACTTGTTGGGCAATATATGGATGTCATTAACGTGAGTATTGAAGTTACATAATGAATTGAACCTTCACTGACAATAGATATCTAAGTACATTGAATATTTCACATCAAACATCAATGGTAAATTTTCTCTCTCCATTTTGATTCCCTCCCATGATCTGTTTACTTTACCTCCCGCTTTGCTGGAATCCCTTCAAATCACGTTGACAGAATCTTCATACTTTCTTGCACCAGGGACAATTGTTAAGCTTCAATCTTCAAGTATCGATTTTTTAACCACAGCTGCACTGACAATTCTGGTCAATGATAATGACACTTTCAATAGCTTCAACACAGTGCGTTACAATCGTCCTATGAGTTCCGGATTGAAGTCTTTTGACAGTATTAGTTTGAGACCAGAAATTCCACAAAATATCGAGGTTAAATCAACAACTGAAGTTCCTGACCAAATTGATTATAAAATGATTCAATTGACAAGACCAGAAGTCACGTTTCTTATTGGCAAAAATGGAAGAAAGATTGAAGACATCAGAAGGAGAAGTAGGGCCGTTGTTAAAGTGGTTCCTTTGAATAGTGAAATGAACCATGATATGAACTTGAGATGTAAAAATGTTATTCAATTTATTAGGGTTCAAGGTACTAAAAAGCAAATCAGGGATGCACTTCGTATAATTGAGTTTGATATTTATCAATTTAGGAATGGTGGCATAACAACATATTAGTATAATCAATGGGAACCTCCAATCATCAACAAACATGTAAAGAATTTGGTTATAGATCTTTTATCCACACTTTGTTGATCCAAGGACTGTGCCCAAAATTGTGCAATCCGCGCGTATTTTCAGTCACGGAGGGTAATATCTGGTACAGGCAGCACCGTTGTTTTTCTTCGCAGTAAGAAATTTTTCATCACTCGGTGAAAAATCTGATGAAGGATGGGAAAAAAAAAATTTTTTTTTATATTTGAGTGAAAATTTTATCCTTCTCTTTTATCCATACTTTTTTGGTATAACTAAGAACCCATTATAATATAACCAAAAATGGCTGAAGGTGTTTTCCCAGGTGCTATCGGTATCGATTTAGGTACTACCTACTCATGTGTTGCTACTTACGACTCTGCTGTCGAAATTATTGCCAATGAACAAGGTAACCGTGTTACTCCATCATTCGTCGCCTTCACTTCTGAAGAAAGATTAATTGGTGATGCTGCTAAGAATCAAGCTGCTTTAAACCCAAAAAACACTGTTTTCGATGCTAAACGTTTGATTGGTCGTCGTTTCGATGATGAATCAGTCCAAAAAGATATCAAAACATGGCCATTCAAAGTTATTGACTCCAACGGTGCTCCATTAGTTGAAGTTGAATACTTAGATGAAACCAAAACTTTCTCTCCACAAGAAATTTCATCAATGGTTTTAACCAAAATGAAAGAAATTGCTGAAGCTAAAATTGGTCAAAAAGTTGAAAAAGCTGTTATTACTGTTCCAGCTTATTTCAATGATGCTCAACGTCAAGCTACCAAAGATGCTGGTGCCATTTCTGGTTTAAACGTTTTACGTATCATTAACGAACCAACTGCCGCTGCTATTGCTTACGGTTTAGGTGCCGGTAAATCTGAAAAAGAAAGACATGTCTTAATTTTCGATTTAGGTGGTGGTACTTTTGATGTTTCATTATTACACATTGCTGGTGGTGTTTTCACCGTTAAAGCTACTGCTGGTGATACTCATTTAGGTGGTCAAGATTTCGATACCAACTTATTAGAACACTTCAAAGCTGAATTCAAAAAGAAAACTGGTAACGATATCTCTGGTGATTCAAGAGCTTTACGTCGTTTAAGAACTGCTGCTGAACGTGCTAAACGTACTTTATCTTCAGTTGCTACCACTACTGTTGAAGTTGATTCATTATTCGATGGTGAAGATTTCGCTTCAAACATCTCAAGAGCTCGTTTCGAAGATATTAACGCTGCTTTATTCAAATCTACTTTAGACCCAGTTGAACAAGTCTTGAAAGATGCTAAAATCTCAAAAGATAAAGTTGATGAAGTTGTCTTAGTTGGTGGTTCTACCCGTATTCCAAAAGTTCAAAAATTATTATCAGATTTCTTTGATGGTAAACAATTAGAAAAATCTATTAACCCAGATGAAGCTGTTGCTTACGGTGCTGCCGTTCAAGGTGCTATCTTAACTGGTCAATCAACCTCAGATGACACTAAAGATTTATTATTATTAGATGTCTCCCCATTATCATTAGGTGTTGCTATGCAAGGTAACGTTTTCGCTCCAGTTGTTCCAAGAAACACCACTGTTCCAACCATCAAAAGAAGAACTTTCACCACTGTTGCTGACCACCAAACCACTGTTCAATTCCCAGTTTACCAAGGTGAACGTGTTAACTGTGCTGAAAACACTTTATTAGGTGAATTTGACTTAAAAGGTATCCCACCTTTACCAGCTGGTGAACCAGTCTTAGAAGCTATCTTCGAAGTTGATGCTAACGGTATCTTAAAGGTTACTGCTGTTGAAAAATCAACTGGTAAATCTGCCAACATTACCATCTCTAACGCTGTTGGTCGTTTATCATCTGCTGATATTGAAAAAGCTATTGAAGAAGCTGAAAAATTCAAATCTTCTGATGAAGCTTTCTCAAAACGTCATGAAGCTAAACAACGTTTAGAATCATACGTTTCATCAATTGAAGCTACCGTCACTGACCCAGTCTTATCTTCCAAATTAAAACGTGGTTCAAAAGATAAGATTGAAGCTGCTTTATCTGATGCTTTAGCTGCTTTAGAAATTGAAGAATCAACTGCTGATGATTACAGAAAAGCTGAAGTTGGTTTGAAACGTGTTGTCACCAAAGCTATGGCTACTCGTTAAGATGCATCTTTTTAATTTAATATTTTGATAGTATTGGCTTTTATTATCAAAGTTAGGTTTATTTAGTTTTCAAAAAAAAGAAAAAATGCGGTTTAATTAAAAGAATTGTAGTTTATTTGCAGTTTTCTTGAACGAGGTTATGATGAATGCCATTTTCGCGAATGAATTTGCAGGGTAAAAAAGCTCATCGGTTCGCCCACTCATCTCTAAAATTTTTTTAGGTATAAGCTTGATGAAGATTAGAAGAATGAAGATACAAGTTCAACAACCTACAAGTAGTCAATCCATTTACCTTTAAACAATTTAATTCAAGATGAAACTAGATATCTCTCACATGAGATACTTGACACCGGATGATTTCCGTGTGCTTACAGCTGTGGAAATGGGTTCTCGTAACCATGAAGTTGTTCCAACTCAAATGATTCATCAAATAGGTGGTTTAAGATCTATATCAGGTACAAACAGATGTATTTCAGATCTTGCTAAACTGAAATTGATCCAAAAATTAAGAAATGCCAAATATGATGGTTATAGAATGTCATTTTCAGGTTACGATTATCTTGCATTAAAATCAATGTTGAATAGAGGTACAGTTTATTCAGTTGGTACTACTATTGGTGTTGGTAAAGAATCTGATATTTACTCTACATCTGATAAAAACAGTCATAAAAAAGTTTTGAAGATTCATCGTTTAGGTAGAACTTCATTCAAGACTGTTAAAAACAATCGTGATTATTTAAGAAATAGATCATCAGGTAGTTGGATGTATCTTTCAAGGTTAGCTGCTAATAAAGAATATCAATTCATGAGTACACTTTTCACAAATGGATTCTCAGTTCCTGAACCATATGATTATTCACGTCATTGTGTGTTGATGCAGTGGATTGATGGGTTCCCAATGAGACAATTGAGAGAACATTCAGATCATAAAAAATTGTATTCAGACTTGATGAAATTCATTGTAAAATTGGCAAACCATGGGCTTATACATTGTGATTTCAATGAATTTAATATTATTATTGTTAATGAAGATGCATTGGATAAATATCAAGATAATTTCATTGTTATTGATTTCCCTCAATGTATTTCCATTGAACACACAGATGCAGAATCTTATTTCAACCGTGATGTTGAATGTATTAGAAGATTTTTCAGAAAGAAGTTAAATTATGACCCAATTACAGACTCTACTATGGTTGATACAGATGGTTATGGTGAAGGTTTCAAATACTTGTATCCAGATTTCAAAAGAGATGTCAAAAGAGTGGCAGATTTGGATGTTGTTGTGGAGGCATCTGGTTATAGCAAGAAGAAAAAGAATGATAATGATTATGAAGCTGCTGTGGAAAGTATGAGAATTGGTGTTGAAGAAACTAACGATGATTTTGAAGTTGTCGGTGAAGACGAAGAGCCAGAAGATGATTATTCTGAAGAAGATTATGAAGATTACAGTGAGGAAGAAGATAGTACAGAAGAGGATAGTGAAGCTGAAGAGGAAGAAAACGAACGTATTATCGAAGCATTACAGCATGGTGTTGAAAACTTGAAGATGGATAAATTGGGTAATTACATTCTGGATGAATAGATCGGATGGCATTAAATAAACTACTAGATTTGGATTATTTAAACTCGTAAAATAACTTTATATTCGTAACACAATAGCGATCAACGCACCTTTTCAAATTAACTAATATACATCTTCATCAAACTGATCACCATCTACCACCTTGGTTACCACCAAAACCACCTTGATTACCACCGAAGCCACCTTGGTTTCCGTATTCATTTCTACCACCATAATCATCACGGCCAGATGATCCATATTCATTTCTACCACCACCAAAACCTGATGACCCATATTCATTGCGGCCAGATGATCCATATTCATTTCTACCACCACCAAAACCTGATGATCCGTATTCATCACGACCTGATGAGCCATATTCATTACGACCACCACCAAAACCAGAGTTTCCACCGTATTCATTACGACCACCGCCAAAGCCAGAGTTTCCACCATATTCATTACGACCACCTTCATGACGACCACCTTCATGGCCTTCATTACCACCACCAAAACCGAAGACACCACCACCACCGTGATGACCTTCTTTACGGTCTTCAAAAGCATCTTCAGCTTTGTTGGCACCAATGGCACCAAGGATAGCACCACCAATTGAACCAAGAGTTGAGTGGCTACCACCTAATTTGTTACCACCGTAGGCACCAGCAGCACCACCAAGTAAAGTGGCACCTAAACCTCTTTCACCATCGCCACCGGCAACTTGTTGACCTTGTTGACCTTGGTTTTGTTGAGGATTGTATTGTTGGTTTTTATCACCAGAGCTGTAATAATCGTTAGCAGACATTGATTTCTTTTGTAGTTGATATTATTGAAGGAATAAACAAAAATTCATGAAATTGAGATCTAAAAACAGCTTACTTCACTCCTTTTATACTCATATTTACCTCGATTGTGCTTATTCATATGGCCCCCAATTTTGTAATTCTTCAACGACAGGTGAAATTGCGATGCATCACCATGCAGATCAGGTACAATGCCGGAAAGGGGATCTTTGGTCAGATTTCAGATCAATTTTGGTGATGGAAATTGCAAAGGCTTCTGTGAAAGCTATTACTGGGGTAATTTGAAGGGTAATAATAGCCAATTCAATAGTTAAAGTTAAGTCAAAAGTCCCAAGGGTCCTTGGATACGATCCATCAGGTTTATTTTAGGATAATTGCGTTGCTGTCACTGCCTTTGAGTACTGCCCGTGAGCACTGAGGACGTGTTTCACTTACAAAAAAAGTGGCTAATTTTAAAGCCTGACTCAAGGCTTACGAAACCAATGTCTTGATGTCAAGTTAACTCATCGTTTAAGTAATGTTACAAGTTACAAGCTCTGTGTATGTTCTGAAATTGAAGTTGAAAGCACTCTCTTCAACTTTCTTGGATGTTCAATGACCGAACATTAACCGAATTAAGCTTGGATGATGGTACTTTCGTTGATGGCATTTGAAAACTTGCCTTAAGTCAACTAAAGAGCTAGCGCATCTAGCCCTATATACACTTTTATTTTTGTAGCAGGCCTTGTGCAATCCTTGGACAGTTTAGCACCCATTAGAAGTTACAATTTGATACAAATTCACTTAGCATTAATTCCATTAATTTAGTCTAGTATACATTAAATGGTTCATTGATTAATCATCATCACTGTTTAAATCAACTTCTTGATCTTCATCTTCTTCGTCTTCGTCTTCATCGTCATCCTCTTCCTCTTCACCAGACCCTGACTGTTCATCATCACTGACATCTGAAGTATCATCAACTTCGACACCAACTTGGAAATTGGCATCATTTTCTTCATCGTCGTCATCATCAACTTCACCACCTTCTTCTTCATAACCTTCAGGTAATTGTTGTTCAGCTTCAGCCAAAGCACCACTTTCTTGATTCTTTGTAAGTGGTTTGGCTTTCAATGCTTCACTCATTGAATTGTCTAAAACTTGTCTATTTTTAATATAATCATCAATGTTTGCAAAATCACTTTGATCAATCATACTGAATTCAAACTTATCACCATCTTTCAAAACAAGTGTAACATTGAAAGTAACTCTTGTGATCGAAGAGTATGAAATAGAATCAATATCTTGCGATCTGAACAATAGTATAGGTTTTTTGAACCCAAACAAAATGTGATTTGGTAAGAAATATAAAATACCTTCTTTAGTACCTCTATGAGCTTGGACAAAAAATGAATTGAAATTACCTTGGAAGGTTTCACTGACTTTGAACCCAGAAACAGCAGCTTGACGTTGAATGTATAGTTTGAAATCTTCACCTTCTTTTATCAATTTTTCACCAACCAATTGTTTATTAACTTGTTCTTTGTTCATTGTTAACACAATTGGTTCATTTTGGAAAGCAGCACCTAAGTTTCTTTGATAGAAGACGACAAAGTATAGCAAGTTTTTCTTTTCTGGGGCTGGTAAGAATGTTGAAAATGTTATATTATCCTTCGTCAATTCATCAATGACCAAGTCTGGTTTGTCTCCATTGGATTTAGCAACAGATAGTATAGGCTTTTGGGTGACTGGTGATATGGAAAATGTCAAGTTGAGCTTCTTTCTTAATGGGGATTGGAATGATAGTTCTCGAAGTTGGAATATGATTGTAGCTGGGTCTATCGAGTCTATTTCATAGTAATCTCTATCGTCAACATCTGCGATTTTTCTCTTTTTGGATGATGAGTCAGATGACAGATGGTTGTATAGTTCTTCGAATACTTCTAGAGCCTCTGGATTGCTCTCTATTTAAGTTAAAAGTTAGTATTAATCTGTTTTGTTTTCATACAAATCTTTTTGACGCGAAACTAGTTGATAAAAAAACATGGGTCAAGGAAACAACAAAAAGATGAGAAGTGAATTGGGAACTTGCAACGTACCAGAAATATTGATGATTTTGGCTTTCAAAGTAGCAGGTAATTCATCAACAAATGACATTTGGGTTGGTGTGATGTTAGTATCAGTGTGGTTGACGTAAAGAGGAGTTTAAAGGGGTTTTGTTGTTGACATGGGCATAGTTTTTCACCGTTTATTTTTCAATTTGTTTTTCAGAATTCTTGAACATGTTTTTCGTTGATTGGGAAAATGTTGATTTGTGGGCACCAGGACGTTCGAGCATTAAATGGTGAGCTTGACATCGAAACTTTGGGAAAAGAAAAGAAAAAAACCATATTAGATTACAACTATAATATCTCTTTTAGTTTCTCTGAGACATTAGCCAACAAATTAAGAATCGAAGCACTCTGCTTCTACACATTTCTCTGAAGAATAAGCATCCATGTATGTGCAAAATCTGCCTAATATAAATAAGTTGAATAAATAAATAAATAAATAAATAAATAATCATAATAAATGAGTAATCGTTAGAATGCTAGCACCGTGATCCCATCAATTCTCAGCAGCTGGAACGGCAGCTTCTTGTTTTCTTCTGGCTCTTGCCTCATGGAGCTTCTTAACACGTTCATTCAAAATCTCATCTTCAGCATCAACAACCTTGTAGAAGAAATAGCCTATACCGGTCCAAAGAGCAGCTGAATAAACATAACCCATTTTAAAATGGCCCCAAGGTCTACGTAAAATACCAAGTTGAAATCCTCTAGCTAAAACCCCTGAGGACAATCTGTTAGTACTATTATCCTTCAAGATCTTCACCACACAACGACAAACATACCGAAACCTGCCCATCCGACGTAACTTAATGTCCCAACCATCTTGTAACTAACAATATTCTAATCTTCTTCTTTTGGAATCTGTTGCAATTGGTGACTTCAAGAACTGTTCAAAGCGCTTTTCATCATCTAATAATGATTTCCGCGAATATTTCGAATTGCGGGTAAATGCTCGTATTCGCGAAATTTAGACAGGCTCAAAAAAATCCAAATCTTTGACACAAAAGCAGATTCACAATTTCTTTCAACAACATTATGAGAATTTGTCAAACAATGTATCTATTGCTTAGTGGTTATGGACTGCTGACAGGAATCGAATAATACATTGTAAAAATGGCCGTTAGAAAATCCAAGGATATGTTCTTTAAGATCAAGAACTTCAAATTCTCATTGCTCACTTTACTCACCTATGTCTTTGATTGGATCATTTACACGTTCGTGAATACCTCATATCGTCTGAAATCTTTCCATGAAGTGAATTTGCTAAATTCAACATAGTGTATTACTCATAACATTTGTTGCATACAGAATGAACTCACATCCAAAATATCATGAATTTTCCCTAGCTGACGACTCCCTTGCCCACACTTTTTACCGTGATGATGATAATTTAGTTCCAACAAACGCACTCCTTGTCATTTCCTTAGCCCTTCCTATTATTCAAGTCATTTCAATCTTTGGGTTTTCCTCAAGTTGCATGAGTAGAAAACTTTGGAATATTCATTGTGCCTTATTAGCATTTCTAGCCTCTCATAGCTTCCAAACAGCAGTTGTCTCAATTTTGAAAATTGTCACGGGTGCTCCTAGACCTGATCTTATCCAGCGTTGTGTTCCTTCAAGCTTTGATTTACCCCCATTTGGATCACTTTCGAATGTTGCCATATGTACAAATGCTGTTATTAGAGAGATTGATGAAGGTTTTAAAAGTTTCCCCTCGGGACATGCTTCAACATCATTTACTTCAGCAACCTTCAGTTTTTTTGTGTTTGCAAGTCGTCATAGAATCTTTGATAATAGAGGTGTTGCATTCAAGATTTTTGTCTCGATTTTACCATTCTTTTTTTCAACATTCATTACAGCTACAAGATACTCTGATAACCGCCATTTTTTCATTGATCTCATTGCAGGAGTCTTGATTGGCATTTTTGCAAGTTGTGTTGGTTATCATTTCTACTTCCCTTATTTCAAAGATGTCAAGAATGGAGGAAAAGCTTTCCCACCTAGAAGAATTGGAGCAGAAAAGAAGTATAAAGGTGTTGGTGGTTTTTGGAAGTTACCAGAAGATGACCTTTATGAGTATGATGATCGTGCCTCCACAATTGATGATGAAAGCTCAAGTGGATCAAGTACTGACTCGCCACTTCCTCCAAAATCTAAGCATTCAAATTATGCGTACAACAAATCAAGGCCCCACACCAGCACGACCATGTATACAGTCAAATTGAAACCCGATAAAGGTGAAGTTTAAACAATTCAATATTAATCCATGGGAAAGAGCATGTATGCCCATTTGAACACAAAGTTGCAGATTTATAAAGATGCAAGAGCACCCTTTCACTTGTCTCTTCGCTTTGCAATTATTTTTCAATCATCTCTTTGATCTTATATCATCCAATATATTACATATCAGTCATTAATTTAGACATTTAGACCTTTAACATCTCGTAGTACCAATTCAAAATCAATAGTATTTGAGCTAAATAGGCTGTATTACCGGAGATAATCTTTATATCGATCAGAATATATTACATTGTACGCTGAAATTAGGCGATCAACAATACCTATTTAATAAGGAACCCAACTCCTACTATTAATTAGTTGATCTTCTATGGCAATATAATGACTGATATTTGATTGATAATTATATTATAATAACTATAGCGCCTAGCTGATCAGCTGCTGATAAATCGACGACTTCACAGCTAGAAAGTTAAATTATACTAGTGCAGGTTATAAGAAATGAACTAATTTTGATTAATATAATTATATTAATATAGTTTTTTTTTTTTTTTAGTTGATGTATTTGATGAACTTGGATGAGGAATGCAATTATGCACGAACCGCTTGGATTGTAAGCTTCTCGCTATGTTGGAATTCAGGCTTCCTTATAATATCCTTCTCAGCCAACTGAGAAACCTATTCTCCACCACGGAACAGTGTGGGACTCGCCTCTTGTTGAGGAATACCCACTAAAACTCACCCTAAAATCAGAGCTCAGGTTTGAACCCATGATGATGGTAAATAATGATAAAATGCTAACTGCCTGACCAAATGGGCAGAAAGCTAATAAAAATTTAATGTTCGAATATATAATAAATA